CGTAGACTCCTACACATTTAGGATGGTCACCATTTTACGTCATTTATGTATAAATAAAATATTGATTAAAAAGTCACGTCAGTTGTACTTTTTATTTAAAACCATTCATAATAGTCCAGGCGCTAGAGCAGTAAAAGTAGGCTTTAGCGTTTGTTTGAAGTAATCTATTTTGTTGTACAGAATCCTACATATTAAATGTAGATTAAGAATCCGAGTTTGCCTATTCCAAAAAATCATTGCTAAATTCAGGGGAACAACAAACATACGAAAAGAACGAAAAATCACCAGGTTTTCGACAAACTTTTTCCTGTAACATTGAAAGTAAGCCTTAAATAAAAAAGTCATTTTTTGTTTACTTAACGATTTTCAGTTATAACAACTGCGAATCAAAAAAGTTGAATTTTGCATTAACAATGGGCGAAAAATAGAAAATCATAATTATGTATATTTGTAGCGACTTTTAAAATAAGTAAATATTTATAAATATGATCGATCGTTGCAAAATTTTTAGGGTGGAATTGACATATGTTTTACTATTTGTTCACAAAGTTTCAACAATATTTATAAATATTTACTTATTTTAAAAATTGCCCCAAATATAAAAAAAATCTTTATTATATTTATAATTTAAAGTATATGATAATAACTGAGATTTCTCTACGTATCATGTTGATAAAAGCAGCACAATAAAGGTTTACTAACATATTTTTGCGATTGTAAATCTCGTCACGTTAAAAGATATATTTTTCTATCTAAACGACACCACTTGCAATATTTGAATTTGAATTAAATGTGGAGATTGTAGAATATAGGACAGAATTCCTCTCAGAGGATAAACATCTTTAAGTGGCAAATGTTTTTATTTTTACACTTTTATCGCATTGAAAATTCATTTTTATGGCAAAATTGTTATATGTATAAGTTCTGTGAAGTTCATCATAATATAATTGTACATTTAATATGTTTTACAAATGAAGAGGTGGTTTCCAAAGGAATTTTAAATTTCAATACTTTAGAAGCTTTGGAGCTTAAATTGTTAGAAAGTTTATTAGTTAATTCGCTAATTCTTTCTGACAAAACCAAAACGATAAGCGAAATCTGTAACCTGTAAACTTGTAATCTGTAACCTGTAAACCTGTAATCAAAATTTATATTGGCATATTTCACATGATTATCGACTGTTCGGTCAATAATGTTAAATTTGGAACCATGACCTTTTAATTCCACTGGCAAAGAAATGAAGTCCACATTCCCAAAGCCTGACCTTGATAATGGAAAATCATTTGTCCACTTGGAGAAAGAGTTTGATACCTATGCCGGTTATAAAACCCACACTATTTATATATCCGTTGCCAAATACCGGTTGTAAAGGTGAAGGTGTTGTCGTAAGTGCGGTATCTACTGATACCGACCATATTTCCGTCTGACAAGAGAGGGAACCTCAGTCCATAATTAAAGCAATCTTAATTTGGAATCAAGCAATTAAAAATATGTAACATTTAATCCCTAAACTAAACATTCCACTTATCACAAAATCTCATATTAACTGATAATGGGAAATCCAGTTTCATGAACTTTATCAACTAAATTTATTAAAGAATAAATTAATTAATATATATATATAATAATTATACCGGGTAGGAAAGTACCGATGGTCTATCTGAAGTTACGTGAGAGATAAAGTAAGCCATAGAAATCCATGCGATAGAGAAGGATGGCTATAATGAAGGCGTCTCATAGTCACCGCCCGTTTTGCCCTTCCACAAATAAGATCCACTTCTTATTTGTGGAAGGGCGAAATGGGCGGTGACAATTAGACGCCTTCACTATACCCATCCTTGTCTATCACATGGATTTCTATGGCTTACTTTATCGCTCTCACGTAACTTCAGATAGACCATCGGTACTTTCCTACCCGGTATAAAAATATTATTGCAGTGTTGATATGGCAAGGTAGTGTTCGCTTTCCTCATATAAATATTATACATATACAGGGTGTTCCACCTAAAAGGGATTCTTCTGTAACTCTGCAACTGTAAAATTTATAAAAAAAATTGTTTTAATAAAACTTGTCTGGAATCATGTGGGCCATACAAAGAAAATATTTTTAGGTTTACATTGTGTTCCATTTCGCGTGAGCGGTACATAACTTTGTTATTTTAAATGGAACGCCCTGTATATTATTGCGTTTTTGAATTCTTTGGTTAATATTAGGTAGAGTTTATTAAATGTACATGGTGTTTAAAACTTATCGTTTTCGAGATAATCATCAAGATAGTATGGACATCCTTATATCAATCGAAAGGGCAATAGTTACAGCAATAATTAAAATATTATAAAAAAATATCGAACCTGACAGTGTGTTTTTGAAAAACTGATATTATCACCGTTTCGTGACAAATAGGAAAATACTTATTTTATTTATATCAAGATGACTTTGAATTTGAGTTACAATGACCTAGAGGTTATGTCCTATTAAGATAAACCATTAGAAGTATCAAACACTTCCAAGAAAAGAAGAAGATAGGAGGCACTTAAATTATCCTTTACTGCAGTTCTAAAAAAATAATTTGTTTATATTTAATACATTTTCCAATAAATATAATGTAAACTGCATTTTAAAATATAATTTCCAGATAAATTAACATATTTGTATCATTTTAAGACTGAAATAAATGATTTAATACACTTTTTATATTGGTCTGTAATTTGATGAAGGGTGATCCTTTGGTTAAATTGAAAATAAGGGAAAAGGTTCATCTTTTTGTTTTGATTTATTTATTTACGAATACACTACCTTACAGTTACATGCTAAAAAGTTAATTAATTCTTTTGTAAAGTATTTTTTATTGATTTTTAATTCAAACTAAAATTTATTTTATTTTATCCCTATAAGAGCTCTTGCAGATAAAGATGGACAACAAAATGGATCTCATGGAAATTTTGTAAGATGCTTGCCTACGCTCTGTCACCAAAAATAACGGGTTTATTGCACTACAAATGAACGTCGTGTCTTGTTTTTGGTATTGAATTTTGAACAATTGCCAACCCGTACACAAGAACCCCTACGTGTTTTCTTCATGTAAGACGCTCGTTCACATCCAGTCAGTTTTAGATTTTCCGAAGAGGATCAGGTCGGAAACCAGATCTAATTCTGTGATCATCTTGTACAGGGTGTTCTGTCAAATCCGTAAACAGCGCGCGAATAAGTCGCAATAAAACATTAATGAGTTTTAAATAGACTTCTAACAGGTCGATTAAATTAAATTGTACGCTAAACTTTACTACAATCGCTGTTGATTCGTCAGTGCCGAATAATGCGCTGGCGAGACTGGATCCCACAATGGAATACTTGAGACCAGTTAAGTCAATTGCGAAAGATTAAAAGTATCCGTACCGGTGATTGACAAAGGAATAACTCAATTAACTAATTATAAAGATGGCACTGTCCGGGGATAAATATAGCGAAACGACATAATTTGACCTGTTTCATCAGCTGACACTGGGTCATTTAAAAATGGAGGTCGGTCCGAAGATTAGATTGGAGATGGGGTTGTCGAACGAAATTGGAATTCTATTACGCATAGAATTAGTTCATTTTCTTTGAATATTTACAAAAAAATCTAAAAATTAAAAGTATTAAGTAGTTTGCCCAAATAAAGGCAATGTTCTATACCAGTGGTCTAGAAATACGGAAAATATTCGACTAAGAGATTTTACGTATTATTTTGCTAAAAGTAAAAAAGTACAACCACGCCAGACAATAACAAAGCAAATGATGCATATACGTATCTAATTTTTATCAACTGAAAATAAATCGTCTATATTTAATATTGTTTACTTTTCTTATCTGTGTATGTATTTGCATACTGTCCACCGTTTTGAAACGTGAATCAAATTCCCATACAATCCGATTTTTCCGACATTTATTTTACATTTCATAATTCTAAAATAATAAAGATTATAAAATGTAATATAATCGTATACGTTCGTAAGTAAAGCACAAACTATAGATTGTATTAAGTCGGGTCCATTTTTTAATTTGAATTAATTCAAATCCAATATCTTCTGTTTTTGTAGTGTTTTAAAGTGTAGTATAGCCAAAAATTCTTATTTTAGGTAGGTGTCTAAACAATTTTGTATAACTCTTTAAAAATTGATTGACAATAAAAATAACGAGAGTACATATTTTCCAAAATTTGACACGGAAAAAGCAAACAAAATAAATTCTGTGTATTTTTTGTTTTTTGTTTCATTGGCTGCTCATTTTGGTGCAAGAGTTTTTTATAGGTGGTATGAAAAAGAAAATCAGCGGAAAACAAAAATAATGACACCAATAAATCTTCAGATTATCCTTATCCTGCAGCTTACGCTTGCATCCTAGTTCTGCTATCAGGAACCCATTCTAGTATGTAAACAAAGTTCAATGTTAACTGATTATACCCCCCGTTAACTTCACTTTTATTGTGACATGGTCTTATCCTATTTAATTATCCCGAAAGGTTATCGGTACTTGAAATGAATTTTGAACTGAGTATATATATTCATAGTGGCCACATGATTTCTTCATTGCTCTTTTCAACCCCCCTTTCCCATTTGTAAATAGCATTTATTGCAAGCAGGTTTAGAATATTTTCATACCGTTTTGGTATTTACAGATATCGACTTGAGCATGAGTTACTTATAAATCAATACTACCACATATAACAATAACTTTAGAAACTATGCTGTCAATTCTTGTTGGTACAGGTGAGTACAAGGGGGGTGGTTTTCGGTAAAACATTTTTGTACGGCATTTCTCAAAAATGTACCAACAAGAATTGACGGCATAGTTTCTAAAGTTATTGTTATATGTGGTAGTATTCATTTATAAGTAATTCATGCTGGGTCTAATGACCTCTTGAAAATTTCCGATGGGCTTGTAGTCTATTTTCATTTCTTGTAACGTAAAGAAAACATTTATAGGGTGGTGTAATATATACATTTATTTTTTGTTTCAGGGCCAACAGTCAACCTAATATCAAAAATATTTTGTTTTTATAAGAAGACGTAGAAGTAACAATTTCTCTTGACAATGGTGAGTATTTTTTTAATTATATTAAAAATAGTTGTTGCCGAAAATACCGCGAACTGGAATACCATTAGGTAAATCAAACGAAGAACTAAAAAAAGATATAGAAAGTAAAAATAATTGCATATACAGTCTGGCCCACTAAGAATCATTATACTAAATTTTTTGGGGCGAGTTTTCGAGTGAAATTTTATCACCTCAGAATTTTTTTTTGATAAAAAAACTGGCTGCGTAGTCTTAATCAAGCCCGATATAGAAAATTTCAACGATTTATAAAGCAGATCATTTTTTTATGGCCATAAAGTTTCCGTTTCAGTTTAACAATCTAGGAGGCACTGAAAATGCCTGAAGATTGGCCAATTACTGACCCTGCAGTCAGCATATAAATTATTGTTACAATTTTCACTGATCTGAAAACTTAACTATACTTTGCTAATGTTAGTTTTTAAATTGAAACAAAAACTTATCAAATTTACTCTGCATTGTAAATTGTCGAAATTTGAGATGTGATTTTCGGAAAAAAATAAGCAGTAGCCCATGGATTTGCACTTTGAGGATTGTAGATATGTTTCAAAAAAAGGGGGTAGTCTTGGTTCTTAGTAGGTCAGACTATGTATGTATGTGTAAAAATGTCTCACAATGTTCAATATTACTTTCATTTCATTCAGTATAAATCAAATAAAAAACTGTATTATAATAAGAATATAGCACATTGATAATAGAAGTACAGTAGGTTAATGCCTACCAGTGTCAGATTTTAAAATGTTGTAATATTATTCCGTATCATAAAAGTCTTAACCTTGTTTTGAGCGGTATTTCCATTTCAATAAATATTAATGCGCAATACATAATACAGTAAGGAAAGTACGGTACACAACACGTAGTACACATAAATATAATGGTTCTAAGAAGACCTAATATAATTTTGTACATATAATACAATCTTTATTAATGTGCTTGATTCACTAAAACATTGAAACAAAAATATAAACTTGTTTGCACCGACACATTTCTTTCTGTAAATGCATAAATGAAAATATATGTCAATGTTTGCTGAATTAAAAATTGTTTTTATTTATGCAAGAAGCTACATTGTTATTTCTCTGAAATCAAAATAACGATCGACAAAATTAGATAATATTCGTATCCATGAACTGTTTATTTTTTTTTAACAAAATGTGTCTTCTTGCCTTGTATGACTTACATGTTCATTTTTTGTCAGCTTTCTTACGGCACTATCACTGCCCCAAAAGTTAAAGAGCATCAACCGCTTTTAAATAAATTATCCTCATTTGATACCCCTGATCAGGAGAGGAAATTATTGTTAGTAACTGATAATGAGAAAAAGGCATGTGAGCCTGTTCCGGTAGGTCGAATCAATGGCTATTTATTCCTAAATGCTGCTGGGGTACATAACAGAGTGTCATTTTTACTTTTCAATACTTTAGTAGCCCCCAAATTGCTTGCATTGGCAACAACTCATGCATGTTTTAAACAGTGTTTTAAATTTAATTTCATTAAATTTAAAACACTGTTTTATATCTGGTATCCCATCGTTATTTGAGATTTTGGGATATTGCTTTAGATTTTGCTCGATACTTTGTTTTTAAATAGGCAAAAGAAAAATCTGCCTGAGGTTCAATTGAGGCTCATTGTTATAAGATATAAATAAATCAAAAAAGATTTTTTTATTGAGCATTTTTCATTTTTTTAATAAAATAAATTACATCTTTTTTTTCTGTCATTGATGACATATTATGGCTCTATTCAGTTTACTCAAGTATTGACAGTAATGTTGTTAAATGACACTCTGTGCAGATATAAATTTACTATGTGAGTATTAACAATTTTGTATTTTTCATTTTATAGACAACGAAAATTGCAAATGGTGCAACAGAGTTGGATACTTTCCTCCCTCAGGACAATTCTACGATAAATGGTGTAACAAAGTAAGTTTCAAAACAGAAAAATTTTGTAAAATTTCATAAGTCAAAAAGAGTTTACTGAAACCACTTTTCGACATTTGCATACCTAGATTTCTGATATCGAAAGATCACTGACTTTATTTGATAAGCCTTTTTTTTAAGTTTGAATTTATTTAAATTAATATGTTTACAATAAAGTAAAAGTATTCTTCTCAATGTTCAACCAGAAAGTTTTGAAACTAGATGGAAAACTATATATTTTGGTGCGCTATTTTTATTTTTCAAATTTATTGCACTTTGTAAACAAGATTATTAATAAAAGTCGACACTAATATATTTGGAACACTCAGGAAAAGGGAAGTATTTATCAAATAACTATACAAATTACTTATAGATAAAACTCCCTAACGCATGCATCAAACTCAATCAAATATAATGGATGTTTATAATTGCAAACGTATCAGTTGGATTATTTTAAAAACATTTTAAACTGGTAGCAATGTTCGTAGTACCTACCTAACAATACGATTGTAGTAGCGGAAATGGATTGAAATCATCACGTGTGTTAAAATATACGATTATAATTTTTCTATAATTTTGCGGTGTGAATAGAAATTATTTTGGTGGTAATTTCTAGAGCTGTAAATATTGTCGACCGAAATTATAGTGGCAGTTTATTCTCTCAACATAAAATTTGTTTGTAGTATTAGCGTGCTGTTAGCAAGGAAATAATGGCAGAATTGTAAGTAACAATTTTTTATAAATATATTTTTTGATACCATTTTAGTGAATATTTAACTGTACATTGCTTTTTTCAGTAACTTACATTTCATATTTTGTTGAAAAAATTCAATCTCTAATATCAGCAGTCTCTATATGACAGCTATGTCTTTTTTCAAAAGCAAAGCATACTGAGCCACACTTCTGAGTGTTTTGCTTAATTTACAGAAAGAGACTGGCCACCAATATCATCAGACCTCAGTCGTAAAACAATGTATACTTTGAAACCATGCCAATATACTAAGGTTTTTTTAGAAAAGAAATCGCACTTTTGGTAAGACAATGATAGTACATTAGATCCATCCAGGAAGTGACGAAACGTAACGCTAAACTAAAGCAACTTCCTTTAAGTTTTCGTTAAAAAATTGCTCATATAAACGCCTCCCTCAAAGATTATGTTTAAACATCGATTTCTTTACATCGTTGCATGCAGTAACTGTAAGATAATTGTTAAAAACTGTCTAAAACTAAAGTGATGCAATTTTCTAATAAAGTTTTGTCAATTGTTAAGTCATTGACCTAAAATCAACTTAAAAGGTAATCAAAATAATGTATGACCTAAGGTAAATAATTCAGTTTATATACAATACATATTGATAACACTGGGAGCTATGTTAAACAATAATATTTACAGTATAAGGAAACTATACTTATGATGAAGTTATTAAGCTTGATGCAAATGTGGTCATTTGTTGCTGTTTATAATATCAGTAGGTAGTTGAATTGTTTGACTATCATATTACACCTCTTTATTAAATATACATCCAAACTGAATATTGAGCTTATATGAGGGTTTTCCGATGTGATCTCCTCATTAAAAATATCTCTGAATTCGATTTTTTAAAAGTAACGCACTTTTTATTTTACATGTCGAAGTCATATACAATTTTTACAAAACACATATTATATATATTCCAGTTAAACTGTAACTTTTCGAAAATATTTAGCATACATTTTAAAAAAGATTGTCTTTTATAGGTACAAAATATCCAAAGGAAATGACCTGGAAGCAGCTAACGTCGACTTCGACCCGTTCAAGGCCAGGCAGCTAGAACACCCCGTATCGTAAGTAGCTATTTACTTTAAATTTGCTTATCTCAAATTTCAAGGTTCATAATGGTATTTCTTGAGGTTGTAAATATTGTGCATGGATAAATATGTCCTACTTTTGAAATTAAATTGACATTAAACTGTTATCGCTTTGCATTAATTAGCGCAATTGCTACAAACAATTCGCCTCAAAAGGTACCAATTAAATAATTGGACATAATGAGATTAATAATCTTCCTAATTCGTTGTGAATGTTAACTGAAACGTAGTGTTTTGTACATTGCCCAAATTTAATAAAAGAATTGAGAATTTTATTTCAATGAAATGTAACCAACACTAAGACACCCCTATATATTTTTTTTTGGGATGCATCATTCGAATGATTTTTGATTTAGTGAACCAATTATTGCGACGATCCAGTTGGCAGTGCATGGCCTGCTGGTTATGAATTGTCAACTGCTCCCCAAAAAAAATGTTAGAGGGGTCTCCTTGTTCTTAGTCGAGCACATCATCTAAAATAAAATTTTATAGAAACACTAAACTGAGCTATATCTAATCCCGACAAAGTTTTAAATGAAATAACAATGGATATATTTTCGAAAAGTTAAATCGGAAAAAATCATTTTTCGTTTACAAAAAGATATCAGATGTCATAAATATAATAAATTACACCGGATCTCCCACTTAAAACTCCTCGAGCTTCGTCTGCTACAATTTTTAACATGTAAAAATTGATATATCAATTTGTAGATACTTTCAAAACCTTCCAAACTAACTATTTAATATGAAAAAAAATATTTTCTATGATTTTACTGCTTAAATCCAATTGATTAAAGAAATAGAGGTTACCTAGTGCTTTACATAAAAAATGATTATTAAAAAGATAATTTTTTATACTTATTGAACTTAATATTTACATATTTCTTAAAAATTAACAATATCTCTTAGCGGTGACACTTTTCAATACTTAAAAAAATTGATTACTATGCTTTATTTTTTAAGTAATAACATTTTTAAGAATTCGCGGATAGGCAGAAATTTTTATACACAATTACGTTTTCTCATAAATGTGCAAATAAAAAGTTTCTCCTCTTCTGTACCCAAACATGGGACACTCTGTATATTAAAATGCAAACGTTTTTCACTAACAATTTTTTTTACAGTGATGTGGACACGCTGACACATCTCCTCAAAGCTTCACTGGGTACAGGAATCCTGTCCATGCCCGCTGCGTTCTATGCCTCCGGCTTAGTATTGGGCATCTTCTCGACGATCCTAGTATCAGTTATATGCACCCACTGCTCGTACATTTTGGTAAGATCTTAAATTAAACGATAAATATAATAATTTACGCACACTATTTCGTCTATCCGAGGCGTTAATTAACAATAATTTTCTTTGCTAGGTTGTTTGTGCCCATGAACTATACAAAAAATCTGGGAAGTCCCAAATGAGTTTCGCCGAGGTAGCTCAGGAGGCATGTCTACGCGGTCCTAAGTGGGGAAAAAAGTTTGCTGGATCAGCAAGGTACGTAGAGTGACATGCACCCAAAATAATAAAGAGTAAACTAATTAAATTAAAAATGAATTGATTAATAATAATTCTAAAATTGAACTTTCTGTAATATTATTATACAAAGTGGCAAAATCCATTCTACATAATCCCTGAAAAACAAATGAAATAACTTAATTAAACATGATTAATATTATTCCTCAGTATAGTTTCTGATATAAATATTTCTTTTCAGGCAACTAGTTTTAATAGGAATTTTCGTAACGTACTTCACAACATGCAGCTGCTATTCCGTTATCATCGCAAGAAATTTCAACTACGTCGTCAATCACTACCTGGGCTATGAAGTTCCAATCAGGCTAACGATTTCTCTTCTCCTGATACCACTGATACTTTTAGCTTATGTACCAAATCTAAAGTATTTAGCACCGGTTTCCATGGTTGCTAACGTATTCATGGCGGTTGGTTTAGGTATCACGTTTTACTACCTCGTCGTCGATATGCCGCCGATTTCTTCAAGAGCCCTAGCCAATAGCGACATCTCAAAATTCCCTACATTCTTTAGTATCACTGTTTTCGCAATTGAGGCTATCGGAGTGGTAAGATTGCTCTCTTGAATAGTCAACAAAGGATTATATTAATTTTTTTATTAGGTAATGCCCTTAGAGAATCACATGAAGACTCCTCAGCATTTCACAGGATTATGTGGAGTTTTAAATCAAGGAATGAGCGGTGTAACTCTAGTTTACATGCTGTTAGGTTTCTTCGGATACCTAAAATACGGGGAAAACATTCAGGGATCTGTTACTCTTAACCTCCCCCAGGGCGACTAGTAAGTATAAACATTGTTCTTATTTACAATCAAATTTTTATACATACTTGATGTATGCCTGTTTTGTAAACACTAAATACGTTTATTTTTTTCCAGTGCTGCTCAAACGGTGAACGTTCTCATCGGCTTAGCAGTTTTCTTTACCTTTGGACTACAGTTCTACGTGTGCATCGACATAGCCTGGTGTGGAATCAAGGAACGTGTTCAAAAAAACAAAGTCGTCGCCGAGTATATCCTACGCACTGTAATGGTAATAGTATGTGTAGCACTGGCCATAGCGGTACCTACAATAATCCCGTTCGTATCGTTAATCGGTGCTTTTTGTTTTTCAATCCTGGGACTGATGGTTCCAGTCGGTATTGAAGTTTTAACGTTTTGGGACAAAGGGTTTGGGAAGTTTAACTGGAAATTTTTTAAGAATGCTATAGTCATATTTATAGCACTTTTAGCTTTAATTTTTGGTTCGAAATCTGCCATTTTGGATATTGTTGGTATGTATGCACCGGCCGTATCTAACACTACAGTACCAGTAAACACCACCGTTAGTTAGGGGATTTTTGTATTATTTAGGTTTTAATTTTAGTCTAAGGAAATTAGGTTTATTTTTTTTTTAATCAGGGTCTTTATATGTAAATATGTTACAGATCTTTTTTTTTATTTTTTTTTTATAAAATTAATTTATTACTGATGCATTATGACTAGCGGTTGAGACAATGTGACTTGTAAAAGAGTCATACTGAGTTCATTCTTCCAGTTTTCATTTCAGTTGTTTACTAGACGTTGTTCATTACGGTCAGTCGGCTGTTCAGTGCATTTACGTTGTTAATTGAGAGCGCGAGTTAAAATAGTAGAAAAAAAAGAGGAATTATTTCAAATGTGGTTTAATAGTTACCAAGAAGGGTATAAGACGTACGTATCTGAGGAAATGACCTGTTTTTTAATGTTTATGAACGAATCTTCAATGGAGACGAGGCATTTGAATAGACGTACCTCAATCAGAGCTGAATTTTTGCTACGAATTTAAAGAAGTGTTTCTTGTAAGTAACATTCCATTAAAAAATTTGAGAAATCCATGTTACGTAATTTTTAAAAAAACTACTTGGACTGAAAAATGTTAGTGACAGCCACGATAAAGAATTTGAAATCACATGGACTTTTGCTAAATATACATTCAGTGAACTGTGTTTAACAAGAATTCAGAACATGTTAGAAAAACTTCTGGATACAAATTTTTGGGAAACGTGACAAGTTTTAGCATTATATACTCTCTACTCGTACTATCTTTTGTCAAAGTAGACCTTGAACAGCTATTTTCCTTGCACAAGTGATTATGAAATTATAGAACGTTGAAATTTTACTTCAGGAAAGCACATATTTTAAATACTGAAACTTTGTCTGAACTCTATAGTTTATGTGGTAAGTTTTCCTTTTTTATATATTTTGTTTTTAGCATTACTATTTAGCATTAATTGTATTGGGATGTATTTTCTGTGAAAATGTTCATATTTACATTTAGACCAGGGCGGATCTGTCGAAATATATCACTTTTTTGATGTGGCTAATTTTTGCTGGAATATCTTCAGTACATCTCACTTCCAGAACATTTTCAAAATTGTAAAAATACCTATTTTATCTGAGCTTTTTACTTATATCTTGGAACCTATGGATTTTGGAAGAATATTGAAGAGGAAAAAAGTTTTAGAATTGAATTTTGCAGAATATACTGTAAGTTAAAAATGTTTAAATTTATTACTGATGTTGCAAAATAGCAATAATTGGTGAAAAAAATGCAGTTTTTTTGGATAATTTTTAATATATTTTAATTGCACCGAGGGCATTGTAATTTTATCTAAAGAGTTTAATAAAACAAAACACCAAATTTGATTAAAATCGGTTCGATAGTTTTCGCAAAATAATTTTTTTAAAAAAATTTTTCGAATTTTCTAAATTTTTTCACATGGATAAGACCGCTCATCCATTCAAATGGTTTTTGAAAAATTGAAATCGGTTGATTAGGACGGCCAAAGCAAATTTTTAAAGTTAACACTTTTAAAAAAAATTGCTTGCTCCCTCTCACATCCACATCAAAACAGATCCGCCCTGGTCTAATTAGTAACTGAGCCTGGTTCTGTTACAAGCCGCAAGCCCCAAACACCAATTAAAACTAGAGTGTAAATTTAAGGTATTCATACAAATCGCAGTTTTTAAACATACCTGGAATTAAAGCAAATAATATTGTATATATACACAATTTTTTGTGTACATTTATCAATATTTTGAGTACCTAATATTTACTTTCTACAACTAGATACTGTAATTGGTTTATTTTAAGTTATAGATTATATTTTAAGACAATAAGGTAAGACTTTAATATGTGGGACTACAGAACTATTCGCAAATAGCTTGTTAGTAGTTTCCTCAAAAATCAAACTTAATTCATGATTAAGGCGTAACATTTTTAGTTCGTTTTCATTAACGTACGGCAGGGTGGGTGAGAGAATCAGAAATAATCGGCATTCTAACGGCACTAGTGGGTAGGTAGTATCTGGTTACGTCGCAGCATATCAGATATGTTTTTTGTTCTTTCTTTAGCGACAAAACTTTTTCTGTCTTAAGAAGTAAATACATAGGTATGTCGAAATTAAGTACTAACAAACGAGTGTTTCTGCACGCATTAATCTTGTCGTAAAAACAATTCGTTGGTGTTACCCAAACGTAAATGAATTAATAGCACAGACCACAGACCAACGGTGTCCTGGCATTCCAGAACCTCCACAAATCCAATCTTATGCGATGGGGGACATGGTTAGAGGCATCATTTCATTATTTTCAAAAAAATAAAATCCGTAATTTTACAATTTAAACTGAAATGTCATGCCTTATTCATGAACAAAAGTCCAAAAAATGTTTTCTAAAAAAACATGTTTAAAGTTTCTTGGCAAAAAGAATTATAATAAAAAAGAGATGAAGATTTCGTTTTCTAATTTGTTACGTAGTGTCTAACAACATATCCTTAGTTTCCCACTAAGGCTGTGATCACCTCGCAAGCATTCCATTGCTTTGTGTAATTATTTTTTACTTTTTATGTGTACTTGTGTAAATAAAACCGACAATACTAGGAACAACTACTAATAAGGAAGTCGATATATTTCTTAGTCCCAAAATTAAATTGTTTATCTTATGTTATGCACAAGAAAATCATGAAAGTATGTGTAAAATTTTATAGGCTATCTTAGTAAATTATTTTTGTTTAATGAAAAAATTCTGTGATTTTTAAATAAATGTCTATATTTATTTATTTTTTAAATTAGGCGTGAAATCAATATATTTATTGTTAGATAATTATGTTTTACCAATTTGGAAATCGGTGTCAGTATTTTTCTATTTACATACGTTGAAACCAAGTTTTTATATAGTTGGACATACTGATTTACTAGTTGAGTTAGTTGAAGCGATGGAAAGTGTATAACAATTATTAATAGATTATTGTTGATTAATTATTATTTTGAACTAGTTTGTATCTCTTTATATCATATTATTTACAAATTGCATTTATTAATAACTGTTATATATTTATCTATTTTATGAGCATCTGCATGACTAATAAAAACACTCTTCGAGTGTTTTGATTATTTAATGCCGATGCTGAATGTTTAGAGGATAGACAAAAAGCATGACTCAAAAAATACAATTTATGATTTGACATTTAAAGACCAATTTTAATATTAAGGATGAAGAAAAACATAATTTATTTTACCGTCAATAGTTAAAATTTTTATCTAAAATCGTGTGCCTGGCCTTTTGTCCAAGTAAAAAAAAATGAAAAAATACTAGTAAATTTCGTTACATTCTGTTAAGCAATAATTTTGTTGTTGATCGATTTTTACTATTGACGGCAGTATTATTGCAATTATTTAACTTGGATTTTAAATAATTTTTGTAAATATTTTTATTGAGCAAATTTTGTGTAGTATTTAGTTTTGAATATGGAATTTTCAACTGTATTATTCCAGAATGGATACACTATATTTCTGCAATTTGAAAAATTTTATATTGAAAAAATAAACGAAGTAAATATTAATCTTGTGTTTGTCTATAAATTCTATTGTATATATTATACTTCGTATCTCATAAATTTTCGAGTTAAAGGAAAAATTTCTTCATAAACAGTTTACCCTGTATGGTTCCTTACATTGCAAGATTTTAATTTTTTATTTTATTACTGTGGTTAAGGGGGTAAACAAGAATACGTAATAACAAAGAAAATGACAAGTGATGCTTATACTATAGTATGATCACATTCGATGCAAAGTAATAAATCATTGCCTGTCAAGAGATCCAGTGCAGTACGGTTTTAAGGGGTTTAGAAATTAAATATTTTCTTTATGCACTATGAAGGGATAAAGGGTTCAGTTCACACATTTTACCTCTGTACGCGCCACTGTTGTTTACTTGTCGCTCTCTGATTTACGACCGAGCTCGCCAGGTTAGTATTTGGCATATAACCGACCACTTCATACACTCGATGCATCTGGGCAACTACAGCTACTACCAGAACATCTTACGCGTCCGAAAAATGACGACACGATTTTTCTTTGATAAAAGGCTGACAATTTTTTGCTCTACTTTGCATGGAATACTATAGACCACCCAGTATCAAACCTGGAAGACGCAGTTATGTTTAAAAAGCAATAATAAGCAACATACTCAGGGCAGTGAACATCCTTTTTCAGTAAAAGTAATATATTGGCAATACAACATTAGAAACGAATACCAATATAAATTCAAACGTATGAAAGAGGAAAATGCTGAAAAGAAACACAACTATAAAATATGTAAATTTTTTATTAGAACCAAGACAATGGAAACAAAACTTCAAATAACAATATGTGAATGTTTAAAAAATATATAATAATGCCTAGGCACTGTATCATGAGAAATGTACATATTAAGTAAGATACAGAAAGTGCTATTTTAAATTTAGCCACAATCTTTAACACTGGTCTATGAAGATCTTGTTCTTTATAATGATAGCATCTTTTAAGATTGCACATTTTTTTTTAATTCCTACAGAAATTATTCAAGCTGGGAACTTAAGTAGATAACTGCAAATTCAAGGAGCAGTAGAGATGTACAAATAGAATAATTGGAAGTATTATCAGTAATGCATAAGTACAAAGCTCATTGGGTGATTTTTGAAAGTATCCAAATATTTAAACTTCCAGATCATATCAAATATGCATAAAAATTTTTTTCTTTATAAAATTGGTGACTAATAAAAGTACAAATGTTTCGTTTCATATCAAATGGGCCGCAAATTTAATATAACGAATCTTCTATCACGCAACAAATACTATATCAAATTTTAAACAAAAAAGTTAAACACTAATTACTATGGAAATAAACCTATGCATCAATGAGATACACTTCATCTTATTGCTGGTCTGATTTTGATAATATTTTTTGAATAGATTTTATCTCCGAAATTTGAAACACTCTGTAGGGTACAGCAACTACAATATTGAATAATTTTCAAGTCGTCTACAAATATTGTCACCGATTATTGGTGAAATTTAATTTCACTGTGTATTTCAATTAATAACAGAGATAACGACGTCAGGCCAAAAACGAATTGTTCAGAAAAGACGATTCAAGTGGACATTTGCTGTTACAACTGATGTTTCAAATTTCAAGGAAAAAAATTGCATATTGCATATTCCGAAAACTGACAATTCAATAAAAATTTCTACAAGCCGTTGGCGAGAAAACAACACAGACTGGGGCCTATTTTTAGTGGTGCGTTAATTTTTATGCAAAGTGTAGTTCATAATCGATCAGTATGTCTGGAATATTGCAATATATTTTTCGTATTTGAGAATCAATATCTTTAAAGTAAATAAAAATACTTGACGTTTTTAGTTAAAACGCTTAAAATTCATTAGTCATATTCATTTACAGAGGAAATTGACCAAATGAAGGTTTAAGAGAACCATAACTGCTTTTTTAATTCTAAGAATTGTTTTCTTCCATAAACCGTCACTGATAATTTAAAAGGCCACCCTGTACAGCAGGATTGGGATGCTTCTTTAATAAGTATTTAAGTCTTGATAATGCAGAAGGAGATTGGAGAAGAGAAGATGTGGAGCTTCTAAATATTTTCAACTAGAACCTCTCGAATTTTTCGTAATACGATTTGATCGATACGAGAGACTAAACATTTTATTTTATTAGAGAAGCAAATTGACATAGACCAGTGCGATCACAGAAATTTATGGTTGTGAGAGATATAACCAAAGAAAAAACAAACAAAACTACAATATAATCATTAACTAACAAATTGGTCATATATGAAAACTATTTTGTACTCTCATCTGTACATATGTCAACTGCCAGCACATACATAAAATTAAAATGTTAAATTGGCTTCCCTTCATTGTCAAAATATCACCAAAGTGTTCATAATATAAGTGAAGGGACCATTTTATTATATATAATATATAAGATACGATTTTCGATGAATACACATTTCTTTACATTTGGTTTAAGTTTCTTCTGATTGCAATTACAGGCACAATAAAGTAACTAATACACTAAGTTGCTCAAGGGATTGGTTTATATCACAATACCAAAATAGATTTTGCGTCTAAATATTTATACACTGCTAGTGGTGCACAAAATCCATTTTAATTTCAGTAAGGCCAGGTGTCACCTCAAAACTACATCAAATTTAATTCATATAATAAGGAAACCTTTTAATTTTAAACCTATCTTAGAAAAAAATTGATAAACCAACAGCCGTACCACCCTCAACAGCACAAGTTTGGTCTAAGAGTGAATTAAAACATTACTTGCCTCTTGATCATAGCATAATCTGGGCAGACAAACGACTTATTTCTTTCAGATTTTCGTTTCAGGAAAAAGATACTTTTACTTTTACTTTATTGTTTATTGAAATACATTTGATAATAACTAGTATTTTTATGTACTCGACTATGTCATGTTAAGAGAGTTTAAAAAGTTCTCAATTAGTTCTATTACTAAATTCTTCAACACCTTTTCATTAAATGGAATATACTAATGATAACTTACGCACCTTTCAAAATAATTAATAATGTAAAAATTTATATTACTTTACTACTCTAAGTAATAAATATGTTAATAAAAAAAAAACAATAAATAGAAAAAATGTAGTTTCCTAATACATGCATACAATTGAACAAAAAAATGTCTTTTAATAAATTATATTTTATATGAGGTGTCCCGGGCCTCAACGTCAAGCTAACAATGGGTGATGGGTGATACCCAAGTTAGGCCAGAACGGCTAAATTTCACCGTAGTAAAAGTTTTTTCAGTTTTCGAGAAATGTAACTTTTTTGAAATTCACGAAAAACTCTACTCGAGGTCGACGTCTTGGGTGTCCCACAGCTACAAAATTTGGTATTTTCCAAATCTGTTTTTTTGCTAAATATAGTAGAGGAACCTTATTACAGAGCATTCATAAATATTTACAAGTCACGTGACCACCGAATTTAAGGGGTTACATCACTGTAACGGTGTTTTAGACAATTTTTATTTTTAATAGAAGGAAAGTAATAGAAAAAAACTGTTTAAGTATGTTTTTAGGCATGTACTGTGTACCGAAATTTTTTTCTTTTACAAATATTTCAAAATGGCGGCACTGGAGCCATTCTCCCGAAGCATGTTGCCGTCGAGGCGTTCCCCGGCACGCACTAGAACTAGTGCAAATTTCAAGGTGGAACAAAAAAAAAATTGCTCTTAATCTACATGAGTATAGCTAGAGAAATAGGTACGGGATTGTAAAAATATTGTTTTTTTGTAAAACTGGCAAGTGTTTGAAGTAAATCGTTAAATTTTTGACGAAAAAAGGGGCAGTTATTTGTTTATAACAATTGTTTCAATTAACTTATCGAAAAATCCGTATGTGTTTCTCTTGAAAATGTTGTTTTAAATATGTGGTTAAAGTTTCAAAAGAAAATATTGAAAATTGAGTTATGGTGCGTGTCGTTTTGAAAATGCGTGTTTTGAGAAAAACGCGTTTAAAGTTTTAAAATGAGTTTTAGACATGAACGCGCAGTGACGCTACACTAACATTCTTTTGTTTGAAATGTAACGAAATCTATGAGTGTATTAAAGAAGTTATAAATCAATAGGTAAGAAGGTACGCGGTACCTTCCGAGCGAGTATGTTAATAGCGCAGGTAGCCGTATAAGAGACGCACGACACGATTCTGGAAAAGCGCAAGATTACAAAAAAAAATATTTTTTTTAAAATTTTTTTTTGCCTCATATTCTAGAAGGTTCAAACTATCTTTTGAGCAAAAAAAAACGATTTTTTGAAAATTCTACAGTGGTGTAACCCCTTAAGCAACCCAACATTGCACGATTGGTTTCCTTAGAACATGACGTCACCAATATTAATGAGTCGTTTACAATGACCAGTGACAAATCGGTACGTCTACGTTCGAGATAATGCAATCGCTGATAGGTTGAATAATATACCGTGAAAAATTACACCAATCGGTCAGCGAAACGGAACATTGTCTTTTAATGTAACCTTGATCTTATCATTTTAATAATTTTTAACTATATCCAAATTTAATGGCTAACATGAAGGTCTTTTAAATGATTTCGCGGCTAATATTGTAAAAATGAATGTGTCAGGACAAACAAAAGATCATTTTTACCGAAATTTAACGTTTTTTAAATAGTCTAAATGAGCTCTTTTGTAGCAAAATCTTTTTTGTTAGGTGAAACCATGCTAAAATTTGTATAAAACACAATTTTTTTAAGACAAAAGGCCAGTTTCATCCAGTACATTTTTTAAAACACCAACTGATACTAGTACAGTAATTTTTTGGATTTTATAACAAAATTCTATATTAAAAAAAAAAAATTACAATACACCTAATTTTGTAGCTAAGGCCTAGGGAAGTGATTTTCGCAAATTTCAAAGAAATAATATCTTCAAAATTAAGAGACCTCAACTGTGGTCAAATTTCATTATCCCGGCTAGCCATGGACCGACATCACTCCTCGGTGGTTTGACGTTGATTATAGGATTTGACTGTATGCAAGAGTACCTGCTTTAACACTTCATTTAATGTAGCTTTTTGACAACGTGGCCTATAGGGTTAAATAATATTGCACGCCTTGCAAAGAGATCTTTTAAGAACGAAAAAACAAAAAAATACATAAATGCTGAGCATTAAGCAATTCTTTAGTTACAAAATACTTTATAATACTATATAACCCTGGCGAAAAATTTACCATTACAAGGGGCAGCAGCACCTACCCAAATTTATCTATTCACAAAGTAGAAATAATAAAATAATATTAATTTAAAAAACAATAAATTACTTTAATTGAAATAAGTATTTTACAACAAATTCTAATTTTTCCAAATATTGCTAGATGAATAATAATACATTAAAAAATGATTTCTGTTCCTGCCAGAGAACAACAGTGAAACAACTAATAAAATACAAAGATTTAAAAAGATATTGTGCTCTTATGTAAAACAGATAATAGATGGCGATTGTTTCCAATGTCTTCAGAAATTTGTGATGTTTTGGGCGATAAAACTAGCACACACTTATTTGGCGGGTAAATAAATATGCTTATAAATACCATACATAAAATATATAAATAGTACTGTTGCACAGATGTTTCCATTAATTATCTCACCATTGTTTGCGGGCAGTTATTATTGTTCTAGATTTTACGGTAGAATTATGATTAAAAATGTGTTATTTTACAAAATACTATACATCATCGGTATGGCAAAGACTCAACATACTTTTTAAGTTCCCATATGATATGTAGCGGGGATTGCTCACACTTTATCTTTCTCTACTTTTTCTTTACCTGTAGATCCTGAGTGTAGGGTGTGATCACCTTCTTTGCTTCTGAAGAACAAAATTTCAATCTCTTTATTTATACAGGCCGATTCAAAATTCAGTACAAGGAATTTAGGGGCGTATTGTTGAGGTCAAAATGAGACTTTTTTTTCTATAAAAGTGGGTCCACAAATGCTTAGTTTTCGATATACTGGATGTTCAAATTTTTAATATTTTTTCGATTTTTTAGGAATAATTTTCAAACGGATTTGAATGTTTGCATAAAACTTGGGGTACGGGGGTTTTGATACAACTAATCATTTTCGAGAAAGTCACTGCTGACTAAATGGTAGTATTGTCACTAATCAGCAATTTTCTCGAAAACGGTTAGTTGTAGGAAAAAAATGTAGAGCTAAAATTCAAAATTGGTTGGTCTGAGAGATTTCGACCAAGTATATCTTTTTTGTCTAAAATTGATAAGGGAATAAACGCACTAATACGAAACATCAATGGGGTAGCAAAAAATTAGGTCCAATTTAATTAAAACGTACCCTTATAAGCGGCGTCCTCTACAAGAATCGTCATTAGCAATAACATATTTAAATTTAGCATCCTAAAAAACCCGCATACCCCAAGCTGAGGGTCACTTTCGGTTGAAAACAAAATTAGTGAAAAAGAAGTGTTGTAGGGGCGAGCATTCGCGGAAGAGTCGTCATGGTGTGGAGTCGCTCGCAGGTATATGTATCTCGTGGCTGGCGCCATCCTGACATGGACTTTTTCTGGAGCCCTGGTGCGTCCCGCGTCTGTTCTTTGTCCTTGCATCTGTTAGACTGGTCCGGCTCTTGACGTAATACTTAAAATGGGCTACTTGAGAACATGTGTACCCACAATGCCAACATTCAAATCTGTTTGGAAATTATTCCCAAAAACTCGAACAAAATAAAAAACTTTAACACCCTGTATATCGAAAACTAAGCATTTGTGGAACCACTTTTATAGGAAAAAAAGTCTTATTTTGACCTCAAAAGTATGCCCCTAAACCCTTTGTACTGAATTTTGAACAAGCCTGTATAAGCTGTGAATACATTAATCATTTGGTTATTGCTTTTAAAAGCGAAAAAAATGACGAAGAAACAGCCAAGAAAACTCTAAGCTCTCTCTAGATATTTCTTTAACTATTCAAAAAATCATGAAACTAAAAATTCTACATGGAAAAATCATCGTACAGAGTTCTGCCGGTACCTTTTGGTAAAATAAAATAAATCTATAATCACAGTTCAAAAACATGCTCAAAAACGCAGAAAAAGCAAAAATGACTATTGCAACAATGAATGTTTCAGTAACTGTTGATGATTTACTGAAATTTTTTATGTAGAATTTTTTTTTGAAAAAAGTGTTTTGGCCCGGAAAAACTATGTTAAAAAGTGACGTCTACCAAAGTTGTAGATTTTTGCATGATCTACAATTTTTGTATTGTTTTCTTTGACACAACTTTTGCCGGATATCGCAATAATGTATTTCACTCCCCCAAATCAACCCTCCATCACCCGTTTATTATAAGCAAGCCCCTTTACCATTTCCACTGATAAAAGTCCCGGTAACATTTTTTTTTCTCTGTGTAATTCGTTTGGACTATTGGTGCACACAAACTTATTTCGGGAACGATATACGTAATACAAATGGGTGTACTTTTCACATAAATGTTAGTAAACATGTTCACTTACTTGGACGGTTCAGTAACAGCAGCGCTCGATGTCTTCTGATGCCCCGAAACCAACTCTCCTCCTTGATCGCCAGCTGCACTCTTAATAGTATCCGGCCCCTCAGACTTAACGTCTTCTACTTGAGCAACTTTATCAATACTATTGGTTTTACTGTCTTTGGAATTGTCCGTTTGGCTATCAATACTTTCAAGTTTTAAGTCACTCTCCACGATCGGTTGCTTGTTCTCTTTATTTCCAACGTTCTTTTTAATTTTGCCATCGAAAGAGGCAAAGTTCGCGTCGAACTGTGCCGAACTGAAATCCGCCCAACCGCCGACGGTAGCATCCGAGCTGCCAAAGTCGCTACCCCACGGGTCGGATCCAACAGCCCGTGCCGGACGACTTTCTACTGGTTTCGGTGATGACCACGCTAAGGAAAATAAGTCAATATTCTAGCAAACGTGTTTAGTGAGCTGACAAATTAAAAAGTATACAGGGTGTTGCGAAGAAATAAGTTAAGCCAATAACACGAGAATCTTGTGCAAAAATTAGTGTTGTAACATTCTCAAGACATAAGAATATTCATAAACTTTCGTATATAAAAAACCTTTTGCTGGGACAAGAAAAAGTGAAAAAGTCAGCAGAAAAATTTGATTTAATCAAAAATTTTTATCAATTTAATGTAGCGTAATACGCTACAGAGGAAACATTGAGGGGTGCGTAGCATGTACAGGAATGAGTTCAGGGGCCAATAACCCCTTTACTCTACTCTTGCTTCGACGATACTAAAATTAACCAAAAAAGTGTGCTAGCATTGGATAAAACTGTACAAAATTTCACCCTAATATCTTAAAAATTAATACAGTTATTTCTTTAAGAGGGCTCTATAGCAAATAGGCAACCAGAAAAACATTTTTGTAGATTTTATTACACAGTTTGTCTAAATATGAATCAATGCACAAATAACAGACTTTCCTCAATTCTAACACAGATTTTCTATAAAATGGAGTTAGTTTGAAACTCAAAATACTTTTTGTTGTAAAGAAATTTGTAATCTGCTTCGTAAATTACAAATTTCTTTACACCAAAGAGTAATGTAAGTTTCAAACTAAGACCATTTTATAGAAAATCTGCGTTAAAATGGGGGAAAGTCTGTTATTTGTGTATTAATTCATATTTAGACAAACTGTGTAATAAAATCTACAAAAATGTATTGCAGGTTGCCTATTTGCTATAGAGCCCTCTTAAATCTTGGAGCGTCTAAACGAAAAATGTTAAAGTCCCATTATTCCCGCCTAAAGAAACGCATAGTTAACAGCTTGACCTATTTTATTTATAACACTGTATAATTAATAAACGTTTGGAGTTTTTTTATTTAGTTTGTCATTACTTACGGTCAACATCCATATTTTCATCGCCGCCCTGCTCGTCGTCACTGTCGCTACTATACACGGCCTCATTTCTGTCTTGTTTCTCAATAACGGTCTGAAAAGTGTGATCCCTGTCCTCAAATATCTGATCATCCGCATCATCTAACGTATTAATATTTTGGGCGCACACTTGCTTAAATATCTCATGCTGTTGGACTAGATCTCCTTCTGACAAATCAAAGTTCATATCTGTTCGATGATCAATTGTCCTGAAAATATACAAATACATTTTTTTCCCTAAGTTAATCAACAAGTTTTTCAAAAACCAAAAATTTTTTAATCAATTTGAATTTTACATCTCGATTTTGTACGTTTCGTATTAAATTAAACGCAACTTACTGTAACGTATCATCTCCGTCGTTAAAAGCATCATCGTTAAATCCACTATAACCGTCTATATACTGCGATGTCAAATTTTGCATTTGGTACTGTGAAAACATCTAAAACAAACAAAAGACCACCAAATATAATTTGCCTCGTCTCTATATCCGTAATTTTAACCCTTACCTGTTGTTGCAATGCACTGGACTGAGGGAAAGGTATGTCGCCGTAATCATCATTATCCTCAACCGAACTGTTGGGATGGGCACCCCCCTAAAAAAATTAAAGCATGAGCGTATTACCCCCCTTCGATCGAACTCCGTTCTTACCAATAATGTTTCCTGTATCTTATTAGTTTCGCTCAGTGTGGTGTCTTTAAAATCGTTCAGAGTTTTTGCCACGTCTGGTAAATTGTCTTTCAGATATTGGCCCAAGGCGGTATTAGAACACAAATCAACTATTTTATTGACTATACTGATTAAGTGGCCCATGTAACCCTGTCGGATACCTTTTTCCTGAGCTCTGCGAAGAAAAACGATCGATTAAGTTTAAATCTAATAATTCAAATTAGCTTTAATGGATTTATATCAAACCGACCAAGCGTGTGCGTTGTACTTACTGTTGCTCGTCATTTTCCTTCCATGCTCCCAATATTCGTTCGATTAACTTACAATTTACTAATAACTGAAAATAAAAGAGTCACAATTAATGCACGAGTCATTCGGCTTCATTCACTCGCTCTTACATGTTTAGTTAAGGCATTTGTGTCATCAATTTCCTCAGATACGTGTGTCTTGAGTGCTGATATAAGGCAATTTTCTACTTGGGTGTGTAAAAAATTGTTCCACGGGTACTTAAAAAATAAATCTAACAGTACAGGGAAAGTTCCTATCGATTCTAATTCATTTAACAGCTCTTCATTATTGGACGCTATGACCGTGGCCAACAGTTTCGTTATCTGAAGTCGAGTATTACCTAACGGTGGATTTAGCGTGCCTACTGTGGTAACAATCGGTGTCGTCTGAAATAACACATGCTCTGTATTTTTTTGTTAAGCATAAACGCTCTGACTTACATTTGGTGGGTCGAGCAGTATGTTATGAAAGTCTTTCGCTCTAGCGCAGAAAGCTCGTGTCGTATTAAAAATAATCTTCTGCTTTTGTTCAATATCACTAGCCTCTTCGTTTATATTGGAATTATACATGTTCTGGGAGTTGAATTTTGGAATGCTAAAAAGTTTAAGTACAATTTTGGTATAAGTTGTAAATTATCCGCAATAATTTTTTCCTCTCACCTAGACTGATACACATCTAAAAGAGCTAGAAGTACTTGAATGCCGCCTACGATAGCAGTTTCACTTTTCTCTTCCTTTAATATATGATCCAACAGCAAAGCAACTGTTTCCGGTCTACAATGATATTTATGTTTTAAAAGTGAATTAAGAGGAACTATTTTTTCAATAGTTAACTTTATTATAACAATTAGACTTACGAGCAATTTTTAAACAGAAAGTGCATTCTTTGTAGTTTTTATTAATTTTTACTAATTCAAAAAAAACGCTTATTTACTAGTTGCTAATAATAAGGCATATATTTTAGATTTTGTCATACAGCAAGCGATAAAATAACACATTGGACAAAAAGCCCCACAGATGTTCTACAAATAAAAAATCCATATGTGTGTTAGATCGTACTAACTTCAAAAGAAATATATCAAAATTTCGTGATATTTCGACGATATTGGAGAAATATTGAAATTTTAGTGATTCTACTTTCGACATTATCAAAACAATGGACAAAACGGTTTTTGTTGGGCAAACATATCGTTCAAGTTTGACAATGGCTTGAAAAGTGTTATAAGGAATCTACCCCATTGAAAACAACCATTTGTCTGTAGTTTACCGCCTTTAAATAGGGCCGGGGACGTTCAAATGAGGTGACAACACCAGAAAACAAAAAAAAATCTTCAAAATTGTGGTCGACAACTGTAAAGTGAAGTTGTTAGAGATAATATACACTATCTCTTGATATCTTTAGATTGTCACTTCATTTGGACGTAACGAGCGTTCAGCATCATCGGTGTCTGTACGGCTTCATTTAAACTCAGTAAACCAGCGACAAATGGTGGGGCAGATCCTTTGTAACACTTATCAAGCTACTGTCGAGTTTGAACGGAATTTTTGCCCCACAACAAAAACACACAAAATCCTGTTTTATCCACTGTTTTGAAAATGTCAACAGTAGCGTCACGAAAACTTCGATATTTCGATAAGTAGTGGTCGAAATGTTACGAAACTTACACACGTTCTTCAGTAGTCAGTACTGCCAACTCACATATGAATTTTTGATTTGGCGTCATCTGTGGGACATTCGCAGGACTTTTTAACAAATGTATTAAGTCCTCAATTATCGGTTACTACAATTAGTGATTGTAGAAAAAATAAATTTATACATGTTGATTATATTCATTTTGCCTGCAAGATGTGCCGATCAAGAAGACAGTCTGCCGTAGAAGATTTTAAATAACTCTCTTAAATATAGCTATTTAATGACGGTTTTATATTGTGTATTTAAATATAAGCAAATCTCGCACACAAAATGAATCTGGTCAACCTGTAGTGACCTATCGAAGAACAAAATTTGTTAGATACTTACGATTCTAAAGTATTAAGTAACGGGTCTGGGTCAGCCCTCTCTGTTGAATTCCTCTGAGTATCACGAGCTATCCTAACGAAATCACACAATAATTGAGCAACATTATAGTGCCTCTCCTTATCGATTTTCGGATTCAACAGAGATACTAATGACTGCATTATTCTTTGACTGTCAAGCCACTGTAAAAGATACACAAAAAAAGATGTGAATATCGTTAAAATGGCAAATGACAATGTATTCTTCTAAGATTTAAAACCATTAGATGTACAGGACAAGAGGGTCCATCTAATTGTTGACATTGTCCACAGTTTTACGGGAAGACAACTTTTACACAACAGCAACCGATTTCGCTACTTTGTCAACTTACAACATTATTCATTTTGAAATTTTCATTAAATGATCATAAAAGAAATACAGTGTGTCTCATTTAAAAAATAAAAAATCTCATACAAGATGTTCAATTGTTTTCTTCTAAAAACAAATTTTTTGTTGAGCCTACAAAAAAACAATTTTTAAATCTCCGTTAAAGATATTATCTATTCCCCAAATATCCCAGGAAACCTGTTCAATACATGAAAATATGTTACAGATAAATACAAATTTTCTTAATTACTGTTCTGTAATTTCGTTTTGGCACAATTTCACTCTAATTGTAAGTAAGGGAGCACAAACAGTGCTTTTGCACCTCACCGATCAATTTTCATGTTTTCATATCACCAAATAATGACTTTAATAAGTTCAATCGAGCGAAGGAAAATAATTTAAATAATTCACAAACTATGGCGATGCCTACAATTATTCATAATACAACAGGAAAATATGAATACTTACATTTAAAATATTCTGCCTCATTTCAACCCCTTCAACTTGTGTCATAAGCTTGAGCATGAGATCCATGATAGCCGAAGTGCCTAAGTGTTTGAGCAGTAATGATATAAAGGTGTCCTTAGCCTTTAAAAAGTCTAGGACCTGTAAGCAAGTGAACTGATAGGATAACCAGTTCTGGTGGGCCAAAGAATGGACGAATCACCGTGGGATTGGCCAAAGAAGGAAGGAGCACAGGAAAGAGGGAGAAAAATTCATGTTATATATTACCATTTATTACTATAGTACTAAGTAAAAATATAAATTCATATAAAAGCTGAAACTTGCATACTAATTGTATAAGGTTTCCACTATATCTTACTTTTATTCCAATTCAGGTCACCGAAATTAAGAAACATTGATGTTAGTAGTACACTCAACCCTTGTACACACAAATACATGAGAAATAAAACCAAATATTAACAACTTTGAATCCCTTCAGAATTCCTGGAAATCTTTGTATAATTGAATGCTAACAAATAACATTAAGCTAATTCCATTATACAAATTGATGGAATTATTTTAAAGTGGTCTTAGTTATTGAATCTTTGATAGTGCATGTCCAGATTGTGACAATTTCATTGATTCTAAATATTTCTGAATAAAGAATATTTTATAGAAATATATTGAAAATTTAAACTGTTGTATGTGTCAATCTACCGACCTTAAAAAAGACCTTTGTTGGAACACCATTTTCATTCACAAAATAAATTGCAGGAAGTTGAAACTAATCTTTAAACTGTCAATACTTTTTTATTAAATGTGTTGATTTATTAGATTTCACTGTCACAATGCAATAACTATTTATTTTATTTAAATGGTTACAATCATATTTAATATCACCATTTTTTTGAAGAAAATGGGCCAAAAAAAATTGCAGCTTAGAGTAGTCCAACAAATATGGCAGTTCCACATCAAATATTTTTCAATTAATTCTTAAGGGTTTGTAAAAAGAAGATTAAAGTCCATTTTGATTTTTTGGAAAACATAAATGAAGATTCACAGAAAAAAATATAAATTTAATTCTCCACACAGTGAAATGAAACAAAATACATATATATTAATACTACTCTGTACATATAACATCCGGTTAAACTCGTATTTCCTGTTTCATTCACTAAAAGTTGCCCAAAACACATTTTTAATTAAAAAAAAACTGCATGCATCTTATTTTTGTATACCACACATGTATAAAAAACTTCAAATTATTATTCATATGAACAGAAAACTTTCGGACAGAACTAGGAGACCTCCTAATATCTAGACAATAATTACTGATACTGGATAAAGTAATTCATAAGTATTCAATAGATGGTATACACAATTAACTCATCATCGGATAGTAAAACGAAAGACCTTATTTACCAATGATTGTTCTGTCTCAAAAACATTGTCATAAAACTTCTTTAAGTGGAAACCTTATAGTGCTTATCTTCAGGAATAAAAAGGACAGTTAAATTAGTCTTTAGATAAAATTTTGACAAAAGAGGAACTTACATGGGATTTGTTAATAAGAGAAATCTTGATAGTTTAATCCACCTCAAAATGACCAAATTAATAAATGTATAACTCCCGTATAAAAATGTTTTTAAAGTAACTAATAATGATAACATTGATAACTTTTATTCCCGAGAAAAGGTACCACATTTTATTCATAACATTTAAAAAACCCGCTGAAAATTTAAATGTAAGTTTAAAAAAAAACAAAATGATTTAATTATAGCACAATCCGGAATAATAGTATTACAAATATGAAAGTAGATAGGAAAAGGTTTACTTTCCAAATGTCATTTATTTTTTAAGGTGATAATACACCCAGAAAAAACTAAATATATTTATTAAGCACAAATAAAATTCAACAAAAAATTAAAAGTATACTCCTCCAGATTTAGTAAAATAATACAATCTTTATGTAGATTTGGCTATAATTATATAAAATGTGGTACATAACGATTCATTTCTCCCACACAGAACGCTAACAAATTAAAAACGTATACATATAAACACGTTTTACCTTTACCACAGAAGCATTAGTTCAAATACGATATGCACTAACCTGCTCAGTCTTTTTTGCAATAAGGGCACCCATTATTTTACTAAAGTAGGAAGCCAATAGCGGATTCAGAGGAGGATCGCATTCCAAAAAAGAATAAAGCTTATCTAGTAGAACTTCATTACCAGCCAATGTTTCATTTAAAGCTGGTACATCACAAGTTAGCAACTCACTTGCTATGTTTGGGTACTTAAATCTAGATCTTTCTTCTATTTCAATTGACGGTTCTTTTATAGTTAACGTTACTAATTCTTCCATCACGTCAGGCTTTAATAGGCTAAAAAGAATATTTTTAGTACAAATATAATTCACTAAATTAAATGATTATGGAAGACAGAACTTACAAGTCTATTAATGTTTTATTCTGAGCCCTACATTCATTAATAATATCGTCGGCGTCCATAACTTCTTGTAGTGTAACATCCTATAAATAAATATAAAAAATTTCAAGTTTTAAATAACTGATACCAATCATTGATTTACCTCTTTGCCTAGAAGACCCTCAATTTGTGAGGAAGATGAGGTATTGTATTTCCAAAACATAGTACTGAATTCTAAAACAGACGCAAAAACTTATCTCAACTGTAAATATGGACAGGAGTAGTATTTTAAAATACGCATCGCATGTTTTGAATAAAAAGTAACAACTGTATTTCAAGCATATTGTTATAAATCCGCACACCTTTTTTAAACTTTACAGAAGACGTTGGGTTAGGTTCATTTGAGATGACCCCGTAATAGAAATTTTATCAAATTTCCATAAGACACACACACTAATTCATTAATCCTAAAGAGCATATCACAAATTTCACATTAATTAACTTGTGGAAGTGGTATATAATTAGTAATTGTCTAAAATTCAATAAATACTTTTATACAGTGATAAAAATGACCACCATTCATAATCCCACAATGCACTTGTTGAATTTATAAATGACGGATCAAAGCGCGAAATTTGAAAAACGTGAGTGATCTTGGAAGCAAGCTCGTATATTAAGCTTATATTTTACTTACCGGTATGAAACTCAATCATTTTAAATCTTTTATAATTTGTTTTACCTCAATTGCTGTTTTGGGAGTTATATTGTGTCAGATTTAATTAACTATAGAAACCAGTGCTGCTATCAATAGTGACACTGACATCGCTCAAGAGGGAATTACGTTAACTAAAATATTTTAAATTAAAATTACGGTAGATTACAATCCATACTGCATTAAGCTAATACAGTTTAAGTATTAATTACTTAAATTATTTAAGTCAAATTCTTTAATTTTCTTTTTAATATACAGGGTGTTCAATAAGTGACGTGATGTCAAGAGTAGGGGTGAAAGGTTAAGATAACACCTCAGTCTTTCGATGTCGACCATATTTTTTGTGTTGGTAAAAATACTGCAAAAATATATATACTTTCTGAGGCACCATTTTATTTAGATTAATAAAATTTATAACTGTTGCACGTCGTTAATCAGTTACGGGCATCCATATATTTTGGGGTAGTCTAACACAATTGACTCACTAAGAATAGACTTTTGAATACCACAAGGTTAATTTACAGGGCCTATACCAGACTAGAATACCCCTAAATGCTTTTGGTACATCTACCAATCAAAAAAAAAGAAAAAACAGAAAAACTGTTTCAGTGTCCTGATCAACTTTTATGTTTTAGTTAAAAAAAAAACTATTTAACTAAAAGGGCTGAAAATCTATGTATTTTTTACAAATAAGTGATTAGTAATAAAACAACAATTTATTGACGGAAACTAATGTGATAGGTTTAACTGTATTAAAATATTTACATACAATGATTTCCACAACAAAATGTAAATGCTAAAAATGTACAAGGAGGTCCTTAAGAAACCCTGCTGGCTTCCCCAGGGAGAGGCAGTGGTTTGCCACCAATAACAATCGATGGACCAATATAATAACGTATGAGAAGACTAGAACCTCGTTTGAGTTGGTTTCGGCCTGCTAAATCTGCCCAACAATCGACCCAGGTTTTGTAATGAGGCATGAAGTTCGGTGACCCGGCTATCAGGCCTGAATTTGTAACAGCCATACAGTTCGAAACAACTTGGAAGGGATAAGTTATTGCTGTTGCCAAAAACTAAAAAAAAAATATAATCATGAAAATACAAGAGGCAAGGCAATACAAGTTTTAAAACTTACAGTCATGGTAGCTGAAGTATAAACTTTTAACTCTCTTTCTTCAACAATGTAATGGTTTATGGCATAAGTCAAACTGCTAGCTAATAACAAAGAACATATATCTCCTAATAGTCTAGGTATTAGACCACTGAAGAACCCCAAAATCCCATTTTGCGAATAAATTTCTTTTACCGAACTAAATATCCCACTAAAAAGAAAAATTGTGGGACATATTCTTTAAAATTGTAATCATACACTTACTTATATTTTGTCTCTCTTCCAACAAATTGTGCCATCATTCTCACAGTTATTACATGAAACGGTTGACTGACAAAAATAGCAGCTGTGTGAGTTATAATGTCACATTTTACAGACCTAATAAACCTTTCTTTTCTAAAAAAAATAAATAAATATATAAAACATAAAAAGATTTTCAACTTGAACATTAGTATCAGCTTACTTCTGAACTTCAGTAGGTTCCTCTTCCAAATCGTCATCGTCATCTTTGGGGGGCTCTAAATAGTCTAAAAGCTTTTGAGTTGCTATTGCACTTAATAGATTTCCACAAACTTTTGGAGCTAAACCATTGTAACAACCAGCAAATCCATCAACTGATTTAATGTGTTTCACTAAAATAAAATATCTAGATAAATACGTTCACTACATAAGATAAGCTTACGTACCATATTCAAAGATATTAGGCAGCTTAAGGGCTGGTTTACCAAAGAAGGTTTTGGCTGGCCTAGGTGGAATAGGTTCATGACCAATCTAAAATTTTTCAAATACCGTCAAATAAGATTACGTCAATATTAAAAATTTACTAACCTGTATCAGAACCTTTGCATACTCAAAAGGGTGTGATGCGGTATTTACAATAATTCTCAATGCATAATTAGACCATTTGTTTTCCTTCTGCTTTGACATAATTCGTGTGATATCAGAAAAATTAATTTTCCTTAAATTTTTTAAAACAATCGGTAAAATAAATCAAAATCCGAGCCGTCAAATTAGGTCGCCAACTGCTTTTTTTATAATATTTGTTACAATCGATTTCATGATACCGAATTGCCAATAGATATAAATTCCAAATTTGTCGTATAAGCACAGTATAAAGTATCCGCGATAATTTAAAGCAAAGTTCATATATCTTTGATATTAGTAAGAAAATAATTTTTTCATAACCGTTATTTAGAATTATAATTATTAATTAATAAATTATTATTAATTAATATAATTATAATAAACAAATTACAAAACCTAGTATTCTTTGTCCTTAAGTTTAAAAAGTAATAGGTATAGTCCATTCACTGGGCTTAATTTTGTGCACCAATCCATCAATAGAGCCGCTTTGCATGTCGTTCAACTCGAGTGTGATAATTTATAAAATCAATAGCCAACCGTACACGACGATTAAATCGATCTTCTACGTGCCAAAACAATCCTATAGATTAGATATCATACGATAAATCTGCAAATCTTAACTCTTGTGCTTTAGTGTGAGCATTATCTGGGAGTCATAGCCTTTCCCATTATGTGTATTAAGTTGTAATTCTACATGTCTTCCTACTTCCTTCCTTACCCAACGCAGGGATCACATAGAAATGACAAAATAATTCAAATTTCTATTACAAATTTTAGACTTGCCATGTGAAGACAGTGCGACTATATACTAAATAGGGAAAAATTAATATAATATAAAAAATATACAGAGTGCTTTACAAAGCACCATCATTATAATTCGAGGATAAGTAAAAATAAATTGGAAACAGACATAGAAAATTACTTTATTAAATAATATTTTGACACTTTGTTATATTACATTTATGCTCAATAATCAAAGTTGTATTCAAAATATGATGAATCAAAAGTATGAACTCGAACGTAACCATCTTCACCACCAGAGCTATAGCTTTTTCCATCAGGATGAAATGCGACACTGTTAATGGGGCCGAAATGTCCTTTCACTCTTCCAAATTCTTCCTCAAAGACCATGTGGAAGAAACGGGAGTCAAATTTACCTACTCTGGTTGAGGTAGTTGTTACATCCATGGCATCCTGTCCTCCTCCTACAACCACATGTTCTAGAATGGGGCTAATAGCCGCAGAATTCACCGGTCGTTCAGTTTTGTAAGTTTTTAAAAGCATCAGGTCCTCAGCATCAAACAGTTTGGCAGTGTGATCCTTTGAGGCAGTGATAAACATCGTTCCGTCCTTGTTCCACTGCATATCATTGATTAAGTTATCGTGTTCTCTTACCGACATTATTTCTTTACCAGTCTGAAAAAAAAATATTTATAGAATACCTAATTCATGATGTGAGAGATTTGTAGAAACCTTATTATACAGGGTGCGGCAAATTTCCAATTAACTAATAAACTTCTTTATTACCTTGAGATCCCACTGAGTAATTCCTCCATTTTCATGTCCTGTAATAATCATTTCATCTAAATTATCCCACAAGATGGATGAAACTCTAGGTCCTTTAATAGGTATCCTCAATATAGGATCCTGTTGTCCTATACTATCATCGATTGTTCTTGTATCAATAATAAACATTTCACAAGGTTGTTTCATGGCTTTGTCAGTTGTATAAACTGCCATATTTGCTGAATAACTGAACATGCATGTTCTTACGGATGAAGCAGTGGAGATATTTCCTATTTCTTTTCCCGTTTCACAATCCCACAATTTACAGCTATTGTCTCCAGCACCCGACATGAATTTTGTTGTAGTCCAATCGACATCAATACACCAAACAGCACCTTGATGTCCATTAAACGTACCTAACCGTTCTCCATTCAGGGCGTACCAAACATTTGGCTTATTATCTTTTGACGCTGAGAATAATAGGTCACCCTCTCGATTATATTTGATTTGGGTTATGGCACGTTCGTGCCCATGTAACATTATGGGTTTCTAAAAAGATGAGCATTAAAAAATATTAGGTTAATTTCAATATGTCACATTCAATTCCTTAGAAAAAAAAATTAACAAGGATTGTATTCAGTTACTTTTACAATACTTACCATCGTTTATATTGTTACTTATATTATCAATTCAAATTTTGTTGTAGAATACACGTTCCACACAAAAAAATAACCCAACAAATTTAGCGATTGCTTAAAAATTGACAAACAATTGACAATTGACATGACATATGACGAAGATAGGGATATAGGGATTTTAGATTTTCACTGACTATTACGATCACAGGAACAGTCCACTACAAATCATTTAAAATTGTTTTAAAATTTATAAGTTTTATTTACAGTTTAGTAGAGTAAAATAAATACCGAGGAAAGATAGAACCAAAAATATTTTATTTGTATTAACATCATATTGTTATGTATTTACTGTATTTAATTATAGCAAAATTATCAACTATTAAAAAAATAATCTCTTGGGCAACGTTGCTCCTTCAACAGCATCTAGCAGTTTCCTTTTCAAAGATGGTTTTTCCGTTTCCTTTACCTTTCTAATATTTTTAGGTAATGGCAATTTAGGACCTAAAGTTGGTGCAGGTTTGTTACTGAAAAATGGCATTTGCAGACACTCAGAACATTCTTTCCGTTTAACTGGACTTAAAACCAAAAGACATTCAATCAAATCTAATAAATCATCTCCTGCTGCAGTAAAAATATTCTTTAATGGGATGGATTGAAACGGTTTGAATTCTATATAATCTACTAGAGATTTAACTCCCGGCCAGTTTTCTTCAGTGGGATTTCCAAAAACTCCAAATATTTTAGTAAGTTGATCCAAATCAGATTCTCCAGGGAATAATGGTACTCGAAGTAATAATTCGGCTAAAATACATCCTACGGCCCACATATCAATGCCTGTACTGTACTGTTTTGCTCCAAACAATAACTCTGGAGCTCTGTACCACCTTGTAACAACTTGGTGGGTGTTAATGCGATTCGGTGATCCATATAATTTAGCTAATCCAAAATCACCTATTTTAAGAACTCCACTACAATTCACCAACAAATTATTTGGTTTCAAGTCTCTATGCAATATCCAGTTTAAATGTAAATATTCTAGTCCTTGCAATGTCTGTAGTATGTAAGACTTTATATTCGCAGTAGTAAGTATTATTGTGTTGTCCTTAATAATAATTTCCAAATCGGTATCCATAAAATCAAAAACAAGAGACACGTTGGACATATGTCCAAATACATCTAGTAAACCTATTAAATTTTTGTGGTGTAGTTCTTGCAATAACTTAATTTCTCTTAAGGCCGTTCTATTAATTCCATCTTGAGCTTCTTGTCTAGTACCTATTTTAATTTTCTTTACAGCCACTATGACATCAGTTTCTACGTCCCTAGCTTTGTATACAGTAGCAAATTGACCTTCTCCAAGAAACTCAATTTTTTCATATCTTTTTATTTTATTTTCCATGTTTACTAGTAAGTGGATCGAACATTAACTATTTTAAATTTGATTCATATTTGTAAATTGTAAATGAGGTTATGCGCTTTTGTTAGTTTTGTTGACTGATGGAGTCGGAGTGATGGATGTCATGGAACATAACCTATTCTGATTTAATGTTCAGTTTAGCAAAAAAGAGCTTGATGACTTTCTAGTTTACAAGTGACAAAGGAGTAAGTTCAAGTACTTATTAAAATAAATTACTCTGAAACTATTTGAAAACACTGCTTCGAACAGTACAAATCTTTAAAATAAAAATACCACCGACATTAACAGGAATAAAACGTATCCTTTTTGCTTAAAAATTTATTGAAAATAAAATGATTGTAAGTTACGAGACATACAACTTTCTTCACAATTCTTTTTTTATTTTAAACCACAGCAAAATAGTTTCAAACCGTTTTAAAAATAATGAATAATATACTTACTGATAAATGAAATGTAATATAATATGCATAATGATAGTGTTCATTTATGCAACAGCTAATAGATTTGTTCCTAGTGCATTTGAAACTGTTTCCAACAGTCTGAGGTCAGAGGCAGTCGCATTTAATTCCAAACAAAGAATTTTGAACCAATATGTCGGAATGCGCACATGGGCGTAGCTACAATTTTTGTTTTGGGGTGGACCCACGGCTGCAAAATCTATGGAGGCCTCCCAAAAAAAAAGAAATGTTGCGCAGTCCCCGTCCGACCAATATGACAAGGATGATAATATTAGAAGTTTTTTTCTGGGGTGAGCACACCCCTGCTCCCCCCTATGCGCATGCATCTGACTGTTGGAAACTATTTTGGATTGTTCTGGGAACAAAACTAAAGCTTCGTTAGAAAAACCAAAACGGAACCGCAAATTTCTGGTTAAACATTTAATCAGTTGCTGAAAATCGGAAATAATAGATCACAATTCTTATTTTAATTTAAAAAGGGATAAATAATACACAAATTGGTACCGATCGACCAGCGACAATTTTATTTTTTAATTCACAAAATAAAAATTATTTACAGTTCCACTTTACCATGCACAAAAAATTTAAAATAAAGTCTATGAAAATAATTTAGATTAACCGGATCCTAACGAGCTTCTTTCTCTTCATCTGAATCGGACAATGGTTCCACACTGATTGCATCTTCATTCTTATCGTCTATTTTTTTATCGTTAGAACTAGGACTTAATACATCGCCCAGTCCTAATATTTTTGGCAGTCCAGATAGGATGGAAGAACTTTTGTCCTTGTTGATAGTGCTTATGTTGTGCGTGACTTTGATTTGCTGATTGGGAAGAATAGGAAATGAGGTGCCGTTGATGGTGGCTGTTCCATTCTCATTTAGATTTATTTGCCCTAAATTTGCGGGCAAAATCCCTGTCACGGATACGCCGCTAATGTTGGTCTGGACCGGAATTGGGATGTTGGACAAGTCTATGATGCTGCCGTTGTGTCCCGGGTCAAAAAAGGTTAAGTCTACTTGTTCGTGTCTGAAAATAATAAATATTTGGTGTCCTTAGAGACGGCATCTCCCAGAGTTTCCGCTACTGGTTGACATATTTGTCAGGGTAGCGAAGTAGAAATAGACAAAATCAATTTGACATTCATACAATGTACATCCTCACCTCAAAACTATTTCATTCCTGTACTTACGTTTCATTTCCTTCTTCGGCATCTTCGTCAACGTCTGTCAGTATTCCAATTTCATACACCACAGACTTTATAACGTATCTAAAATGAATGAGAAAATACGTAATATTTTATTTACATTCTACAGATGCGGTATATGTTTCCCTATATTTCGCATCTCTTAATTAGAATTATTATTTTTGAGATAGAACAAAAAATCTTCAATAAAACTTGCTTGAATTATGCTGAAGTGCCAAAGTTTATGTCAAAATCTATCAAGCAGTTGTTTACGAAGACAGAACATTTTCTTAAAATTATGGCGACACAGGTTTAATAAGTGTGTCTCTAATAATAAGGGAGACACAGCCAAAAGAACGTGTCAAAAGCTCATTGTATAGGGGCACACAGAGTAGTACTAATTGTTTTATGTGCCTGTGTTATTATCTACTTTTACCTACTTTTTTCTCTTGAGTGTGGGCAATACCCAATCAAATAAAAACAGATTATACGGGGCGTTTTATAATAAACAAAAGTTGCTTTATTTCAAACAATGTTCATTTGTTTTATTGTTTCTTTCGATTTTTCAACTTGTGTGTACTTCTTTTTTTAATTAAGCAGCCTCTCAAAAAATATTCTACAGAGATACGACTGAGTTTCTACACACAAAAAAATATTTTTCGGGAAGCACACAACAAAAACGATTTTTTCGTGCCTAGTTTAAACTGTTTCAAGATACAAAATATATAAATATATGTGATATATAGACTGAATTGATAGTTTAGATTAATTGCATGTTAATCGCTTTGTTTTAAAATAAGTACCCAAAAAAATTACAAATTTGCTATAAAATATATAAAATCGTACACTTACAAGTTCTGAGAAGTTTCATTGCCGGATTCCGTGGTTGTGTCCTCATTTGCTACATTTTCCTCATTTTCTATAGGGATGGAAATGCCACTGCTCAACAATAAGAATAGTCCAAGAACGTATGGTAAGTGAAACATTTTGAAAAACTGAGACATCGTCATGGGTTTTGCTTATATATACAATAAATAACTAATTAGCACGTGTGACGTTTGATTTACAGTAAAAATTTGTAGATATTATGATAATTCGTTTTAATCTTATTCCTTTTAAGTTTTCGAATATAATTCAAGGCGTCTGTACTGTTTACTTATGTGAGTCAGATTGGAAATTTAACTTTTCTAGAACTGGTATTACTTTATATTTACTTTAACTGAAATTTAAAAATGTTAAATGTGAATAATATGTATCGTTTTAATTTACAATAAAATGAGTAGATAGATTTTAGTTTTTTAAACACTTTGCTGACCTTTGTGTACCTTACCTTATACCTATACAAAATGCATTTCTATACTTACCTTATTACCTCTTGCCTTACCTTAACTTACCTTGCCTTACCTTACCTTATTATACTACTGATATCTACTACCGTCATCTTTTATGTTGTTTTAGATCATTTATTTTATAGGCAAAATAAATTTATGTAACTTTTATAGAACCTATAAAAGGTTTGTATTAGAACTGAAATTTAAAATTTACTTCAAACACCAAAGCATGTTTCAAGATTCAGAAAGATTCAGACATTTGTATACAATTAGAGAAATAATATTATTAGGCAAACATACTGGCATAATAGTTTGAAATAAATATTTGTATTGCGATTGTAAAACAGAAACAATAATTATAATAATGTAAAAATTATATATTGACATTAGTAATTATTAGAAAAAAAATATTTTTCCATTGAATAGAGAAAAAATGAAATGTCATGATACTTCTGTTATTTATTTAAGTTTTTAAATATATACCTAGGTGTATAAATTATAAATGAATAAATAATATTTTCTGTATAATATCAGAAAACAATATGTATATCTTGAAACTAATCACGAATAATGTTATATCCACTTGCACTTATTTAAATGAAATTTTGTACAAGTTCTAGATTATATTTCAAGTGGATTCTTTTATAGATAATTCTTTATCTGTAATATACGCGACGGCTCGCGAAAATTAGTTGGTGTAATTTTTCACGTGATTCTATTCAACCAATCAGCGATTACATTGTCTCAAGCGTAGGCGTAACGGTTTGTCATTATTCATTGTAAACGAATCATACAGGGTTTGGCGTGTATAATCTATAAAAATTAAACTACAGCTTCCTAGCGATATTTGTTAATAGAAAAGTCTTATACGAAAAAGTTATATTTTTGTTTTCTTTTCGTAAATTAAAGTTCAATTATGGATCAAAATATTTTCTCTGGAACGGTCCTGTAAACAAATCATTGTTGAACGATAGAAAGATACTTCTCAATTTTTGGGGAATATTTCAATACAAAAGTACAAACCCAGAAAAATAGATATTAAAAAAACTGATATTTTCATATTATAATAATTAATAGTAATTACTATCTTAAATTGTTGTTACTGCAAGAGTTCGCAAACAAAACCACATCCGTAAGCATCTGATAGTTGCCCACTGCGTGCACACTAAACAAACTCCATTAAAATATTGAATAAAATGAAATAAAACCTACCATTTCTAGAAAAAAATGTTGAAATTAATTTCCATTAGCGCATATACAGGCATGGCACCAACGCATCCAATTTTGGCGAATAATTTTCCAAATTCCAGGTATCCCCTAACTGTGTCAGCAGCTTCAAGTATACGGTTTCGCAATTCTTCCACCGTAGCAATTGGAGTATTGTAAACCAATGACTTCGAGTGACTCCAAAGATAAAAGTCCATTGGAGTTAGATCGGGTGACCGATGTGGCCACAGCACAGGACCAAAGCGTCCAATCCATCGCTGAGGAAACATTTCATTCAAAAGTGTCGTTCCTCTCGTACTTGAGTACTGTGTGGAGGAGCCCCATCTTGAAGACAAAATATGTATGCCCGAACTTGTAATGCCACATCGTCCAATAATTCAGGCAACCGGTTCTCCAAAAAGTCAGCATATGTTCGTCCATTTATTTAGTCGTCCTTCAAAGAAATAGGGACCCACAAGTACATCGCCTATTATGCCAGCTCAAACATTTACCGAGAACCGATGTTGAAAATGAGTTTTCCTAATCGCGTGAGAATTTTCATCGGCCCATATGTGCATATTATGGAAATTCACTTCATCACGGGTAAATGACGATCATCTGTTACACAAACATAAGCAGGAAAGTCTGCTTGATTGGCACATTGCCGTAAAAAACCATTTGCAAAAAGGCATTCGTTGATCACAATCCGGGGGTAAAATCTGTTGAACTGGTTGCAGATGGTAGGGGTGCAACAGCTGGCGCCTGTACGGTTCGAGATGAGGTTCCTACTTGCTGTGTGAGTGATCGAGTACTAATTGTGGGGTTTTCGTCAAGATTTTCCAACACTGCATCTTCAACATTAAGGTTCACTTGCTGATCACGTCTTTCTCCTCGAGGAATAACACTACCCAAACATTTCCAAAGTTTTTAATAAAAAACACAGGATCGGCCTGCATTTTCATTGAATAAATGAACTTTAATTTACAAAAAAAAACGCGAAGATAGAACTTTTTCGTATAAGACTTTTTTGTTACAAATATCATCAGGATGCAGTAGTTTAATTTTATATAGATTATACACGCCACACCCTGTATATTGATGTCGCCAAGATTTAGGAATTTTTCGTTACCAACAGTACCAACCGTTATAATGTTGCTTGTCTATGTCGGAGGTCACGTGGATTTTAAACATTTATTAGGGCTCTGAGTGCTGAATACATTTGATCTATATGTTCTTTGATAAATATCCCTCTTAGCATCTTCAAGTTTATACTGATTAAAGAAATTATAGCCTTATCAGGAAAGTAGAATTATTAAAACATTACAACGATTTGGATTTGACGATAGGTATAATTAACAATACAATAAAATCTACATTGCAAGTGTAAACCCCAAATAAAGAAATTGAATAAATATTAGTGCAAGTTAACTCTACTGTGTACGGTGTTAAAAGTTAAAAAAAACGCGCATAAATTACGTTTTTCTATAGCTGTTTACATTGCCACACAATTATCGTCTACAGATGATATTTGTTTAATAATGTTACCAATTATGACGAATTCGCAAATAATTATAAATAGCTACCTTAGCACGTTAAAGTTTTCTGATTTTTAGAACAGCAAAATAAGTTCACGCAGATGTCTCACTCATAAAGCTGGCTATGATTTTCGCAATGTAATTGTATATGCGTAAGTAATCCAATGTTGTATAAATATAACTAGGTTTATATACTTACTGAGATCCTTTGGGAAAATTATAACCAATGGGATGGCATTGTTTTGAAAACAATTAAAGAATTATTATTCTTTGAGAAATGTGCTTTTTGTATAATTTTTAATACATTTATTTGATTATTTATTTTTTAAAAGTTTTCTCATTTATATATTTACCTATTTGTAGCATTTCTTAAATAGTTTTTACTTTGTCATAATTTGTTAAACTGTACAGACGAAAACATTAACAACAAACAATAAACAAAAAATCAGCTAAAATAAAATTAGTATTACTTATACGGTGCGAGGTTTGTCTTTTTTACAAATAAAAATGGACGTAGGTAATACTCAATACTGGCATTACATATTCTTATTGTTATTATTTTACGATCACGATATTAACAAAACAAAGTTTCTAACGTATTTTTTTACCTTATGGGAAATACAAAATGATTATTGATAATTATTATTGATAGCCCGTGTCATATACATACGGTCCTATACCTATAGTAATCGATTTGTGTTTTGCTATCAGTTCTTAAGCCCGATAAAAAATGTATCGCTTATCTTATCGCTTACATTTTCATTAATTATATTCTTTCCATTTCGGTATGGGACACGCGGATTTTGACAGCAGCGTATTAAGCTAATTTAAATTTTGAATATCAACAAAGTGCTGTGTTATGTGTTGGCATTCTCATTTCTCGATAGGAATTGCAGCATCAGTATGGACAGTTGTAAGGATATTTTGATAGTTTGTAATTTTATACCGAGTTACGGAATGAATAAATCGTTGATATTGTTTTGCGTTCAGTTTTACTTTGGATTTGTGAAATGTTTAGGGTTTAAAGGCTTGCTTCTTCTGGTATTAATTCTTTTATCACTAAATTCCAAGGCATTTAAAGTATTGGAATTAAAGGATCCCTGTCTTTTGGCGATTTACTTTAAAAAATATGGTTTTTAAAAATTAACGTCTGTTAGAAATATATGGATTTTCATTATCGGCATTTTGAGAATTACATTATAAAAAAATTGAAATGAATCAATATTTATTTAATTATATATTTGATTTTAATTCAAATTATATTTTTTTTCACTCTAAATGGTAGCCCATGGCTATATTTTAATGCAAGCACTGGTAATAGGAAAAAAGATATCAACAATCGTTATATTAAAAAAATAATACAGCTGTGTGAAAGATTACCAAAAGGCGAAAAATGAGACATCTGAAAAACATGTTTACATTAAATTTTCAACTATTTTCTCTCCCACTTCAAATATTTTTAATATCGAATTGATTATTATTGATGAATCATTGATCTAGACTTTGGATGATCATAAAGGACGAATCAAATTTTTTTTTACTGAAATCATTAGTACTTTAAATGTCGTCAAGTGAATTGCAATTTTCTACCCATCTGACGTTGAGAAAAATGTTTTATATAGGGTGTTTATTAAGTACTTTAAATGGAGAATAGGTATGTTTAGTCAAAGATGACAAACAGTGCGACACAAAAAAGTTATGGTTATTTAAATCTAGGTACAACACTGTCCTGTGGTGCACTCTAACATTAAACAAAAAACTAAGTAAATATTTGAATTTCTCATCAGCAACACTCCCAGTTTCCCCAATTTCGTCAAATTGCCGTGTTATTGAATAAAAATATATTCAAAATACCAAACAAAATTTTTTTGGATGTTCTAAGTATATCTCAAGAACCATGTCGTTGCGGATCCATGTTCATATGAACTTTATTTCATAAAATTAGTCAAAGATTAACCCAACAAAATTTGTACAAGTACTTAATAAACACCCTGTATATTCGGATTTAATTCAGAACAATTGTCAACAATCTCTTTAGAATCATCGCCAGATCGTAGATGAAAACCAATATAATTAATATAGAAAGTACTAATATAGTATATAGAAAGTAAAAATATTTTTAAAATGTTGTACAGGGTGCCCCATTTTGTGTGGGCTTGCAGATTACAGAGCAAATGCAGATGAATAGAAAATACTAATAGAGATGAATCGCGCTTTTTCCGAGCTTAGTTTGGGAGGCATAAACAAATTTGACGTTATTATATTGGCATAGTACATATAAAACATATTTAAGAAATATTTGAAATAATTAATTTTAATATAAAATGGGATAATCCTCTGTATATTAAAAATTAAAGTTAGCTCAGGATTTGTTTGCATCATCAAACTACTTTGACCTATTTGATAGCGCATCTTATAAAATAGATGGTTTGGCCTACGCCTTGCAGTACCACCAAAAATAGATCACCCATTAGTAGTATCATTTAAACTCACTCAGATTTTTGTACCTTTTATTACTCATACTTATTCACGTGCATGTAATTAGGTACATTACAATAATGACAAGAGAATCAAATTATAGAAATGCAAATTGTAAAAGTTATGAGTAATCACCATGAAGTCATATTGCTCTTCAAATCGCGTTTTTAATTTTTATATCTAGTGATTATTATTAAGTGCTTTCATTACATAGGTGTTCTCAGTTTCGAGTTTGTTTACAAAGATCTTAATTCAGTTAAGAAATTAAGAAAATTGTCTTTGATTTCCATTGTGTACAGTACGTTTAACAAAAGAAGACCGAATATTGAAATACAGACAACATTTTAATGAATGTATTCACTTTTTGTATAGCAATAGTAAAATTCAATAACCTCGTTGCTAGTGACAACAAAAGATGATATATTCGTCCAGATTAGATTAACTATCACAAAAGCAAAGTCACTGCCTGGGGATCTATTTAATGTTGGCAAATATACACTGATTGTCGCTCTCAGTTTATCAAATGAGCGGATCTCATTGATGTAAATCAAGTTGCATCGAATTTAATATGTATCGATAAAGGCACAAGAGATATACTGGTTTGTGTTTTTCTGGTTGATATTTACATAAGTATGAAACGACATTCCATTCGCTTATCGAGGTTTATGATCGTCGAAATAGAGAAATTGAATTGCCCGTAACAATTTTTTACAGGATATTTAATTTGGATGTTTAAATATATTTTAAAATGTTTCATGTCTATAAGTAGGTAATTAGGCGAGCGGTTCACCCCTAAAAAGACGCTTCTAAATGAAGGTAACCGACTAAATTTTTAAAACAAAAACCTACAGCTGAGACTTTCTTTATTTTATAAAGTGTATTTTTATGATAATTTACATATATGTTTTGTATTTTTCGGCGTGGTTGTTATAAACAAAAAAGTTGTAAAAAAAATACTCGCCGAATGGCTTTTATTGTAAAATGGGCCGAAATAAATACTTTTTGTTCTTTGACAAAAATCCGAAAAATGCTTCGCCTCCGAGATATTTACAATTTAATGTGAAAAAAGTGACGAAATTGACAAACATTCGGAATTTTAATCTCAAAAACTACTGAACAATGTTTAATTCTAAAAAAACATAATAATCGGTAAATCTTCTACTTTAAGATCTATTTTTTTGGTATAGGTCAATTATTTTATTAAAGATCTAAAGCGAGTAAAAAATGTTCCATCCAAAATTGATGATGAAACGCTTATTTCAACTCAAGAACTTGTCAAAAATAACGAAAAACTTATTATTTAAAAATTACATAAAAAGAAATTAATATACTTTTATTGCTCTTAATATTTTTGTAAAATAAAAATAAAATAATTATCCTATACAATAAATAAAAAAAAAATTATTTTTCGAGACCGCTAGGTCAATTATTATTATTAGGTTAATTTTACAATTTAAAAAGCTTATTTAGTTTTGGTATAACTCTCAAGTCAATTTTAGCCATTTATAAAACCAAAAATCGAATATTTAAATTAATATTAAAATATAATCTAATCCAAGATATTGTAAAAAGAAAATTTAAATTTGAAGTATCATAATTTTCTTGAAGACTTTTTTTTACTCGCTTTAGACCTCCAATAAAATGATTGACCCATACCAAAAAAAATATATCTTAAAGTAGAAAATCTGCCGATTATTATGCTTTTTTTTAGAATTAAAATCTGTTCAGTAGTTTTTGAGAAAAAATATCCTAAAGTTTGTCGATTTCGTCACTTTTTTCACATTAAATTGTAAATATCTCGGAAACAAAGCATTTTTCGAATTTTTCTCAACGAACAAAAAGTGTTTATTTTAGTCATGTGGCGAGTAAGTTTTTTACAACGTTTTTGTTTATAACAATTGACTGACCACGCCGAAAAATATAAAAAAAATATGTAAATCATCAGAAAAATACACTATAAAATAAAAAAAGTTTCATGCTGTAGGTTTTTGTTTTAAAAATAAATTTAATCGGTTCATGCCTTTATTTAGGGGTGAACTGCTCGAAATCGACGAGGTTAGAAAGAAGAAGCTAGTTACTTATCAGTGTTTCCCTTCAAAGAATTTTTAATATTTCTACATATTTATTTCACGTTAAGTAATTTTACATGGTGCTTATTTCGCTATGACGCCAGGGGCGGCCTAGGCCTACTTGTCCTCAAGGTTATGTCTTCATAACTTTTGCGTATCCAAGTTTTATGTAATTTGATTAAGTTTTCCTGAATCTGCAATCGATTCTGAACAAAAATTGTGCTCGTATTTCATAGCTCAAAAATGAACCGTTTTCGAGTAAATTGGTACTAAAGTATACCCTGCATTAATTTGTAGAAAAACGTATGCAAAGATTTTATTTGTTGCTATCTAGTAGGTGCCTGTCATTATAAAAAACAAAGTTGCTTACAAGCGTATATGTCAAAATTAATTACGGTAGCTACTCGAAATTACGAGAAATTAAGTTTACAAAACAACAAGAAAAATATTTTATAAGAATTTTAACCTTACTTTGGTCTGGTCTATCCTCTGGTTTAGTTCGACCAAACATGTATATGGGTACGGCTAAATAAATATGGGAGCAAGTTTTATAAATATTTCAATGCCGAGTTGCTGCGTCAGCGACCGAACCTGGTACATACTGACAACCTCTTGGTTCTTGAATTGAAATTGGAAAGACTATACTGTCAATTTGACTTGAATTCTTTTGAAACGCTTTTGACAAATTCTTAAATATTTACAGCTGTGGACAATAAAAAGCTTCATACCTAAACAGCTTATGATCTTTTTAAGAAAAGAATTTATGTTTTGTGAGGTTTCTTACAATTTTATTTTGCAACTAAGTGATTTGTACTAAGATAATTTTTCACATGAAACCAAATACTTCTAATTGTAAGAGGAAAATCTAAACGGAAGTATATGAGTAGTTCATGCAATAACGACAAAAACTTATCTTGTGTAAATGAACTTTTATTATGGCTAGAATATTCTTATTTACTTTAATAATTTCATAATTATTTATTCCAGATCCAAACAAGCTTTCATATCATCTGGGCAATATGTGGATATTATTTCTACGTTTGTAAAATCAGACCCAACTATTATGGACTCGTAATCTTATACCTTACATATTTTTATAGTAAGTACTTTTTAATGATAAAATCAGTTATAAAAATATAAGGAGTAAACTTGCCAAATTATTATATTTGTCAATCATTTCAGAAGGGCCTACAATGTATTGGAAAGACACTCAGGTGTATTAACTTAATCGGAACACCTTCAAGATTCAACCATAATGTTTCAGTTCAATGTTTCAATGTTTCACGTTCATAATTTTTTATTGTGCCATTTCCCTCGCATACTTTTGTTAACGATAAGCAATGTATGGCATTTCTATACCACAATTATTTTAAATTGTATCTTCATAAATATCATTGTCATTTAAAACATATTTTTTCAGAAGGAGAATGTGGGAATGTAACTCTCAAATGTGATGGGCTACTTGAATCGGAAAACAGGAAAAAGATCGGCCTGAGTTCTGTGGAAGAAGAAGAAAATATTTACGATATTATACAGACGATTTTGGACAAAGGTGTCTTGCCCGAAGAATCAAACGCAGCATATCGCACGCATATTTATTTTCATGCTTTCATTATTTCGGACGCTGTCTGGATTATTTCTGCATTCCTACTTTTTGGTAAGCGGAAAAAATGACAAATGGGAAGATTTCTTATCCAAAAATAAGGGAATATATTCCCGTCAACATGCCTCGCTTCTCATATACAGCATGTTTAATTTTTTATGTTTTGAATGAGTGTTTAGGCGTAATTCGAATATGATAAAAGATCTGTGGTTAATTTTGAGAAATTGAAAATTTCTCCATTTAATTTCATTATTATTTAACAACTTTCAAAGTTTCCCTTGGTGAATATATTTATAAATTTCATTACGGAATAACATTGTTATTCGGTATAATAACCTCATTTTAAAAATATTCGTACTTTCTCCATTTAGCGGTCACACACGTATTTACAAAACCTATTGTCTATTGATAAATATTGATTGATATATTTATCGCAAACTTTCGAAAAATTCGTCACTAATATGGTTTCTTAAATTCCTCTTTATTTACAATTTTGGCGAATGCGCCAATGTTAGAAGTTATCACCCAAATTTGTTAAAAAATGTGAAGGAAAAAGCTACATTCGTTTACTTTTCTCAAAACACTAAAATATATCAAGCAGACATATATAAGCACTTTGATCAGTTTTTTAAGAAAACAAACTTTATTTATTCTAATACAGAGATCATTTCTAAATACAATAAACGAAAAAAATATTTTCGTAAATAAATTTAAAAAATCCATCTTAAATCTCTATAAATAACATATGTACAGGATGTCCCACTTAACTTCCCCACCCCACTTATCTCGGTTAGTTTTACAGATATAAAAATTTCTTTGAAATAAAAGTTGTAGTGTTTTTTATGAAGTCCGCTTGTTGTCTTCCAATGTATGAAAATGTCTGAACTTACGTGCCATATTCAAGAAAGTTTTCTTGACGGAGTGTGCCTGTCAGGTACTTGTCTTGGTAATCTCTCAAAGCGGCGCTAGCATTATTGTTGAAATATAGGTACTTCGAAAATATTACTACATTCTTCTTTGGTATAATGCATATTTCCCACTTTAATTTGCCGAAAATTAACTCGCTACCCACTGTTTATTGTTATTTTAATTGTCATAAACGTCAAAATAATTATTGGAAACAAAATATCAATAAAATCATGGCAATCTTGACTATGCAATATGCGATTAAATGCAAATACAGGGTGTTTCAGTTCGGGTGAATCAAACTTTAACCACAAATAGAACTCGATAAATAATTCAGAATTGCCTTATAAAGCAAGGGTTTAAATCTCACCGTTTTCACTGTCGGTTTTTTAAATCGTATTATTTAAGAAATTTTTGGTATGCTTAAAACAAATTGATTCAAATTTGGTGTAGTGTTAACATTTACACATGTGCATAATTTACTGTAAAATTTACAAATTCTTGTAGGTCAGTGGCGTAGGAATGGGTATTATTATTGTCAGGCCAAAAATACCTAGTGTGTATTATTATTTATTTATTCCCTCAAAAATTTTTTTTTACAATGTTTACAGGAAGAATTCTGTAACAAGTGGAAAAGCAAAATCTTATGTTTAAGTAACTATACAATTTTAGGAGAATGAGAAAAAAAAATCAAATATCCTAATATTACTATTACTATTACTACTATTACTATTACTATTACTATTGGAGTTAGACTTTAGTTTCCTTAGTTAGAGTTTAGGAGCAGTTAATTTTATTACAACTGTAATTAATATACGACCTAGAGGAATAAATATAGATCGATTGCCTTTATTTGTATGAGCAGTTAAAATGACTGTTATTTTACTTTTACTTTCGTTACCAGTTCTTGCTGGAGCAATTATTATACTTCACACAGATCGAAACTTAAATACTTAATTTTTTGATCCAGCAGGAGTAGGTGATTCTATTCTTTATCAACATTTATTTTGATTTTTTGGCCACCCAGAAGTTTATATTCTTATTTTACCAGGATTTGGGATAATTTCCCATATTATTAGACAAGAAAGAGGAAAAAATAAGCTTTTGGAACTCTAGGTATAATTTATGCAATAATAGCTTTTGGGCTTTTAGGATTTGTAGTATGAGCTCATCATATATTTACTGTTGGTATAGATGTTGATACTCGAGCTTATTTTACTTCAGCAACTATAATTATTGCTGTTCCTACTGGAATTAAAGTATTCAGATGATTAACAACTTTACATGGAACTCAACTTTTTTACAGACCTGTATCTCTTTGAGCTTTAGGATTCGTTTTCCTATTTCCTGTAGAAGGAACACCCACAGGAGTGGGTTTTTTTTACCCCAACTTCTACGCACATGACTTAATAATCATTTGGGATTAATTTTTAAATTCCGTGGACGATTCTACATGCAAAAGGTATACTTGAAAATCGGTATAGTGTATCGTTTTACTGAAAATCTCAGTTGAATGGGAGACCGTTCTTCTGATCTAAGAAAATTACTTTATTAAGGATAGGAAATAAATTTTAAATTATTTATTGAGTTCTATTTGTGGTTAAAGTTTGATTCACTCGAACTGAAACACCCTGTGTATCAAAAACTGTCAAAAATAACCACATAAGTTATATACATTTGTTCAGAATAAAATGTTACATCTAAAAATGTAATAATTTACAGGGTGTTTCGTTAAAAAAATAATAAGTTGTGTCTGTCACATCGACATTTAAATTTATTAATAATTGTTTTTTTGTTACACAAACATAAACTTCATAAAAAACTATAACTTTTATTTCAATAAAATTTTATATCTGCAAAACTAACCGAGACAAGTGGGACTTGTACCATACCCTATAACTACAATTTAAAATATAGTCGTTGAACATATTTTGACTATTCATTAAAATCTACTTCTGTTAAAAAGTTTTTATTTTTAGCTGGGACCTGCTTCCAAATAAAAAAATGCTTGTCCCTCTTATTTTACTGCCCTTGGTTAATAGTAACTTGCTTCGTTATTCTATTGGACGTTATTTCATCGGTGCATTTTGGACTGGACATCTTGACAATTCATGTAAGTATGAATCAAATTTATAAGCCCTTAAATAAATGTTAAAGTCCACTGCTTCTAATGCTACGTGTTTATTAAATATGTGAGATTATTACAAAAATTCTATCTAAAATCTGTTTTCAGAATTTTACCTCTTGGCTCAACTTCATCGGGGTTCAGAACTATCAAGATTTCTCCGAGTACAACAAGCATAGTTCGTCTTACATCGTCCCCCTGTTACCGGCGTTGCTACTTTGCACCCTTTTTTCCAGAGGTCTAGTATTCTGGGTAGGCAATATAATATTGTTCGTCCAGGTTCTGAACAACGCGGTGTTAGCTTTCCAGGACAATCTGGATGGGAACAATCCAAAACATCAATCAAAAATAGGTAAACGTTTCCTAGTAGAAATTATTTTAACATGTAGACACGGACACCTTGTTTATGTATTTAATTATTCATTTATTTACTAATTTAAGATCTGATTTAGGACGGGCTAAAGGTCTTGGTAAAAACCAAAATTTGGACACCTCGGCGTCCCGGATAAGAAACTGGCAACTGTTTTATGGAGCTGTCGACACGACTAGCAGCAGCTCTTCCAGCAAGTCTAGCGAGCGTGACTTCAATTCCAACAACACTATGAGGAGGACTAGTACCAAGGTGAAGATAAAGGAAGGCAAAACCTTTCCCAGTCCCCCACAAACGCCGGACAGTTCTGATTCGTACGAGAAATATGTTAGGTCGATTAGAGATGAGTCTCAGAGGATGAAACCGAACGTAAGTGTGCCTAATGACTAAATGATTGACATGTAAAATAAAACTAAAAATTATGGAGGTCCTGTTGACGTCATCTTCGTTATTTTAAATGGATCACCCTGTATATTATTGCAATTTTGGATTTTACGTCAATTTTTAGGTGAACCTTCATAAAGGTTTCCTATTCTTAAAGTTAACCGTTTTTGATATATTTAATTTTTTTCAAATAAAAAAAAATTAAAAAGGCACTGCCTAATTCAAAAAGATGTGAATTTTACAATAATAAAGTTAGAGCGATAAAATTTATAGGGGACATAACTAAAACCCTAAGCTTCCCTGCCATAATTTCAAAATAACTTTATTTCATACAGAATGGTCGAAATTTAATCCCGAATTTAATCAACTTTAAACCACCTTAATTTATTTTTTTTAAATGGACTGCACAAAAAACAGTAAATACTTTAAAAACCAGAAGAGATAGGTATAGGGAACCATTATACCATTTATCGTCATTAATTTATTTCCTATTTTCAATCGAAACGTTGGCAAATTTTGGAGACTTAAAATATTTTCAATTTTACATTTTTTGCTTTAAGGCAAGTACGTACTATCACGCATATACTGATGTCGCCGAGTCCCTCGACCAAATTCTCGGGAGAAGAACTGAGCCTGATGGTTCACACAAGAACCAATTGTCTTGGTCATATTTTAAACCCCCGGATGAAAGATGTGACATTGAATATAGTTTAAATGATCCAGGAGATTTCAATCGTTGTGGAATACCAGTAAAGCCTACTGCAACATCGAAGCCATTTATTAGTAAGTGGCATTTTCTATTACATATTATTATAAAAAGTAATTATCCAAGCCGAGTACAGTTCTTGCGCGAATTTTGGCACAAAAACAAATTATTCTTTTTATTTTTGTTGCAGGTACAGAATTGTAAGGAGTCTAGTGTAAGTGAATTTATTATTTATTACCTCATATTTTTTTATAGATGTTTTTTATTTAAATAAATGTATATGTAGAATGTGTCTATTGCCGTTTGAATTTATTCTTCTTTATTTAACAGTTTGTTGCGATGTCAGGACTACCTGAATAAAATTGGTGGTTGCATTAGATGGAGTAGTTGTTTCAAGACAACTGAATTTCATTTTAATATTTAATAGATTAGTCAGCTCAGTAACTTTAAAGTAGAAGAAATTTATTGCAAATTTTGAAAAAAAATCACCATTTGAAGATGTTATAACGCACCTGTAACTTTTTTAGTTTAGCTTAATTCGGTGAAACCCAAATGGAGTATCGCAAATCAAAAAAAATATATTTTTTATCGAAATAAAAAGGTTTATATTTTTATTTTGACTTTCTGCCGTCAGCTACATCAAATAAAAAGCACTTTTCGAAATATTCATCTGAAAATCAATAAAGGCTTTTTTAGATGATTTTTTTTTAATATTCTACTAGTCGGTTATTTTGTGATCGTTAAATGAGAAATAACATCCTAGAATACTATGAATATCTTGAACGCCCTATTTAAAACGCATTGCCATGGAAATAATTCAATATTAGGAATTACAAATAACTTCTGTTAACATCAGTATAGATTAAAAGTTAAACAAATGTTATACCAGCTACATATAAAAAAATTAAAATAAGTAACGAACAATTAGGATATTAAACGTTGAAGGCGCCACGGGTGTTACAGGATAATAACACCCTTAGTCGCGTACATACCCCTCAATTATTATTGAAGATACAAAATTGCGATATTCACGAACTTGATCAATTTGTTAAATGAAATCTTCTGATCTAAACAGATTTTCGATATATTCTTATCTTCTTCAGTTATAGAAAAAAAACGGCTTACTTGTGACGCACTTAATTTCTTTTTTTCGAGTTTTCGAGTTACGAAATAATTAGGTATATCTTTTTTTATAGAAATGGAATTGTTTGCAAAAAGGTTAAAGTCATTTCTTATTTTCTAAACTAAAAAAAGGTGAAGTTGTCCACAACTACATATAAACAAATGCACTGCTAGATAAAATCTATCTATGTAGAAAAATAAAGTCGTATACTAAATAGGGTTAAATAAAACTATTATTTATAAAAAATTCAATAAAAGTTTGACAAAAATGTCAAACGCACAGCTCCCATTATCCATTTGCCTATTTTTAAAATTCCTAGTTGCATTAAAACAATCGCATACTGAGTGAACTTTTTGGCATGAACTCTTCTAATTAAATTTTTTGAGATCAGTCCTGGAATTTCTACTCAAAAATTAGAGAATTTGTATCGAAAAGAATTTTGGCCTAAAGTAAGGGGAGTATACACTTTTTAATATGGACATTTGATATTCCCTTTAATGAAATTTGTTATGGTAGAAGTATGTATAGTCTTTCAGATTCAATTGAAGAAACAAGAGGTTGGCAGTATGTACCAGGTTCGGTCGATGACGCATCAAATCGGCAATGAAACATTTGAAAAACTTGTTCCCATATTTATTTAGTCGTACCCATATACAGGTCTGGTCGCCCAGTTGAATAATGAGCACGGGGGCAAACGCGACACAAACACGGCCGCACTGGGCAACCTGGCCATAAATTCAGTTGACAACAAATGGCCTAGCAGTGCAGTGCAGCAATGCGGAATTTGGTGTGATTCAGGCAATTGTAATTTATTATAGGCACCTTCTGTTAATCATTCATATTACAATTGCGAAAAGGAGAAATAAGAGGGATATTTCGTTTACTAATATTATTACAACATGGCATTTTGGAGGCCTTTTGAAACGTAACAAAACGTAATTCTACACACTATATACAAATTATTATAATTTTTTACCTTTAGCAGAAAACTTTTTTAGGGAGCCCTACAAAACTCATTAAATTTTATTGCTAGGCGTTTTTATACATGTTCAACTGACTTCGGAAAGACTATACCTATAATTCCCCGTGACTCACCCTATATTAACTCAACTATTTTTATATCATATCTATGCTAATAATAAATGAACAAAAGTAATTTATGTTTAGATAAGCTGAAGGAAAATCAAACGTCATATATAAGAGAAACTGTTTGTTTAGTGGTTTAGTTTAATCCCAAATTGTTCTATACCCACATTCTATACTTACGAGTCACTGATAAAAAGAATATTCTACGTAGGAAACGACGAAGTCTAAGTGTTATTTTTATTTATTACTTCAAAGTATCTAAGTAACATTTTTAAACAATATATCATTTCTAGATATTCATCGTCTCATTATTATATTTCCTCAATGAATTTAATTCATTTGCAGATATATATACAGTGACTCATCAAAAACAGTCCCAATTTTTATTTTTTTATGTGAAAGTAAAATGACAACCATCAAATAAATAGGTTTGTTTGAATAAATGTCCAGTTGATATGGCGACCAATGTTTTTAAGAAGTAACATTTGCTCACACCTTCAATTCTATGTGTAGTTTTAATTTTATTATTATAGTAATGTCAAATTATAATACCAAAATATAATCAGAAATCATGTATACCTTTAATTTTAATTTAAGTAGTTCGAAATAATAGATATAGCTTTTGAGATTATCTATAGATTATTTTATATTAAGTCAGACTATAACAAAACATCATGGAATGAACACATGAAATATTTTTCTATACCTCCTTAACTGCCACTTTACATATCGCAAAATGCCACTCCAAAATAAAGATTATAAACAGATTAGTAATAAATTAAATAAAATAGACCGAATACCGTTCAGTTAAATTGCTGATGCAGTTCACTATTTCCATTTTTTACTGAATATTAAAACATAAATTCAGTAATTAATTTAATTTATAATATATTAAACGTATTTAATTTATTGCCTACCTCTACCTTTCAAACACAGTGTTTGTTCTACCTATCTAACTAGCATTCTAGTTACTATTTCTTTTACGTCTTAAAATAATAATATTTGATGAGTGAAACAATAACTGAATGTCAAAAAAAGTAATTTACTGAAACAACTATTTAGAAATACTTTTGGAGATTCTAAGATAATTATAGCAAATCTGTAAAGCCTAGGAATTCCCATTTTTTATCAAAACGTTATTACTACGTACCCAAAGTACATTTTTCTTTGAATAATTCAACATAAATTCGCAGGAATATAACTGCTGCTTTACTCATGGGGGGTCCTGTCCATTCTACCTTTATATAATAATATATTATTATTGTCGATCATAAATATACTAGGTGTATATTTTACAATAGTAAATAATAAAAATTGCCTTTCCTTTGAAATTGTTTGCGTAAAATAACAGTTATCGATATCGCTTTTAATTATCTAGTCAGATAATATTAATCCTTTAATGACTGCTGTACGGTAACACTACAACGTCAGTTTTTAAACCTCCTTTTGGCAATAGTGATTGGAGATGGAGCTGCCCGCAAACAAACGGATTTTGGGAAGGACAGCCGCCTGTTTAGGCGTGGTAAGCAAATAATAATCATTAGTGTTTTTTAAAATTAGCAAAAAAATTTCCAGAATCTTTAGTTCTTAGGACGGATTTTTTTAAATGTTTTTTAGAATGTATTTTCTGAACTACCATACGCTTTTATGTAAAAAAATAACTTACATTGTTATACTATTAAAAAAATAATTATCTTTTATTTTAAAATATGTTTTTTCTGTCACAAGAACACACTTAAGGGGGAAGAGGGGTATGCATATGTCGTAATCAGATTGGAAAATCCATCGTTTTATAAAAAGCCTAGACTTTTTATAAAATTTCCTAATTCGTTGACTTGCGTTATTTTGGAAAGGGATTGGGCATTTTATAAAAAGACGAATATCTCAAATAAAAATCGTGAAATTTTAGTCCATTTATAAAACTGTTCAATTGTTTTAGTTGTTTTGTAAAATGAAATGATAATAGGTTTACATTAAAATTTGAAGGAATATTACATCTTAAACATATAACTTTTATATTATTTTGTATTTATATACCTAATATAGATAAAACCGATAAAATGTGTATGGCATTTATAAATAAATTTGCAATATAGAGAAAATAAAATTATTATTATGATTAGGTACAGGGATTAGCATGGGCGGCTATGTCCCTAGCAGCAATAATATTATACAAATGGTCACCAACTTTCGACGATGCGACAACTTACACGCGAGAAATTGGATTATTACTGTACGTGGTTTTTATACAAGGTAAGTTCTATGCACCGTATGCACCGCATAAGGTGTTCAAAAACTTATTTTATACAGATAACTCCTATATAAAGCAAAAATGCATGCTTTCGAATGTATCGATGTGCAGCATCCACACTATACGTCATTTGTTTACGTCTGACGTTGGCAAGTCTACTCTCTCAAGTTCGCATTCTCAACCAAATTCACTCAGTTCAAATGGCCGTACGATCTGGAGCTTACTTCATCGGTACTCAAACAATGATTATTATTAACTAATACATTTTTAACAATAGTCTTGTTTTGTCAACACCTATCCTTATTAAAAATAAATATCTAAATTCAGGAACATCCTATATTTTAGACCCAAATTCTTTTAAGCAGTTTTAATAGGTATTAACAAATATGAAAAAATTATTAAACACCAAGAAAAATATTCTCATGTATTTTTATTTATGGTACATTATTCTGAAAGACCCTGTATATACACATCCCACCAACTTTGTTTTTTTTTGCAGATACGTTGCCAAACACAAACTTCGTCATTAGACCGTTAGATTTTACAATTTTCATGTGGATATATTTCATTATGAGCGTAGGATGGGTAGCCCTATCACTTGATCAATTTGTAGGTAAGAAACTCGCAGAATATTGCTTAGCTTTTACATTTCAGTTACGCCTCTCTTTGATTAATCTGGTTTTGTTCTATGCGGTTGTAAGCAACCCACAGTAAATTGTCAGATTTATATCATTTTACTGGTAAATATCATCTTCAACTGTTGATTAGATTTTTGGTCATTCTGTCACTGTAAATTAAAAAAATTGCAAATGAACTCCTGGATCACAGCGATTAATCAGAATTTATTTTAATTAAAAAAAAGTTATTTTTGCCTATTCATAATTTTAAAATTTTGTAATGAATAGGTAGTGATTTTACTCAAAAAACTAGTCTTTGACGGTTCACGCATGTCTCGGTTGACTCACTTGGCACACTATTGAATTGCGGCTCTCTCTGACAACCGCAGTGGGCACTTTTTTCATTTAAAATGTAGCAAAATATCCGAAAAAATAACTAGATAAGAAATGCTACTAAAAGTGTACATTTCATTGAAGGGTCAATTGTAGGTTTCACCATCAAAAAATTGGGCCTTTGTACATTATGCCTTAAAACCTTTTTATTGATTTATAATGAAATTACTTATATTAGTCTGATATACAATGTTACTATTACCAAAAAAGATTAACCAAATGACGTTTTTTAAACGTATCTTTTAATCTTGGTTTTCTAATCAAACAAGATACGAAGATCTAGCCACGGATAGAAAATTATTAAAAAAAACGGTTAAAACAATATTACGTTTTCAATTCGTTGAATTAATGAACTAATTTTAATATCACAAAATTCACACAAGATTTGAATTTTGAGCGCCATTTGTGCGGAAAAGTGTTGCCAACGAAAAAAAAGACAGCTGACAGTTTAAGGTTATTAAAATTGGAACGTTTTCATTGTTGAGCGATATTTTAAAAATAATGAAGGTTTGGCAGCCTCAATTCGCAATTTTCGTACAAAAAATGGTGATAAATATGATTCAACTTCATCAACTGTGAAGAAATTAATATTTTTAAATTTTCTTGCAGCTATACACTACAACAAAAGGCGGCAAAAACCCATAATTTTAATGTGGAGCATCTTAACACTGATCGTTTCATTGATCGACTTAATTTTCACCTGTCTCCTTGTGAGAGATTATTCAACTTGCAACGAATATTCGGAAGATACTTATAACTATAGTTGCTATTTAGCATTTGGCATAGCAATGACTCTAGCCGCAAGAGGGTACACGCTTTGGTTGGTGAACGTCATATTTTCCTTCTACATGCTTAGAACGGCCGTAAATGTAAGTATAGTTAACACCAGAACCACCCACCACTTATGAACAGTATACGCTGTACAAGCTAAGCACCTTGTACACAAAGCACTTATTGAAGTGCTTAGTGTAATAATTATCTCAGGAAAGTGCTTTAAATTACCTAAGCACTTGAAGCACTTTGAAAGGAATTATACAGGGTGTAGCGTGTGTTTTCTATAAAAATTGAACTACAGCTTCCTGACGATATTTGTAATAGAAAAGTCTTATACGAAAAAGTTCTATTTTTGCGTTTTTTTTTTTTCGTAAATTAAAGTTCAATTATGTTTAATTTTTATAGATTATACACGCCACTCCCTGTATAGATTACTGTTAAATGTAAAATTGAGAGACTTTTCAAACAAATTATTACGATGGTACACTATTTGAAAAACTGAAATCGACTTGTCTTGGAAAAGGTACTTTTTGTAGGCCTTTTATTCGATTCTATTTTATTCTAAATTCCAATATTGGAATCATTATAAATATAAGAAGCAATATTTTTCTAAGAGAAGGTTGGAATGGGTAAACTGTTTTTATATTATTTGTATGTTTTATAGATCGAGAAAAGGAAGGATAAGTTTGCCAACTTGTTTTCCGATCACAGCATACCGCGGGTGACCATCCCAAAAGCAAATAATACCGCTCCTATTCGCAGAAGTGAAGAATTGGAACCGAATTTTCTGAACCATGACAATTCTTTTCCGTCATTTCTGTACCCAACCGACAAGTTGGACCAAGAGGATACTCTACGATCATTCCAAAGTAGAAGTGACAGAAGCAATGAAAATAGGGCTCCGTCGTTCCTAAGTCGTGGTGAAAAGTTTAGTTATTAATTTGTGAAATTATAATCTAATCGTTAATTCGGGATATACCTACATTTGTACAGAGATTGTATAGTTCAAAGGACCGTGGAGGGAAGGTCGGACTTTTACTAACCACCTAGTGTCGGTGATTCTAACCCGTAGTTACAAATAAAGTCGATGGTGGCGCTAATCACACAAAGGTAGATCTGGGTACTTTAGATGCTAGTAACGTCACTAAATTAGAGTCACTTTAAGTCCTTCACTAATTCATTTTTTAATTGTTTAACAAGATTAGAAATAGATTTAGGAAATGGTGTCTATCTGTGAAATAGAACACCTAGATTTTTCTAACATTTTACCATTTTTATGTAAGAAGGATAAAGAAGTTCGATGTGTTTTCAATCCATGCCCTCCTCAACATTTAGTATAAGAGAAAATATATTAGTATAAGAATTATATTTTTAATTTTTATATATATTGCGCATTTATTTAAATTTGTCTGTACAATGCGAACCATTTTCAGCAAAAAAGTCTGGATTTTTATTGTGATCAAAGACAAGTCAAGGACATGTCTGGATAAATATTTTTAACGAAATGTAGCAAATAATAATCACAAATCTATCAATAAATATAATATAATAGCTAATATTAATAAAATATGTAGTAATGACATTTGCCTTTACAATTTCCAAGTCAGAGGAGACGTCCAGGAAGTCCATCCTGAGTGACCTTTGACTGACTTGATCATTTTATATTTATAGGATAATAAAGTCTTAGATCATAGGTGAGAAATTATTTTTTATATTATTTATTATTCGAAATAAAATTTTTGTATAAATATCAATCATTAGGAATTAGTTTTATTGAAACCTTGTCAGGTATTATCTAAGAATTAAGAGATAATACCGAGCCCAAATATTTTACAAGCTCCGATTAGAAACTTTATTGTCCCAGACGTAATTGTTAAAAATAGATGATCTCGTACATCATAAATTCCTCAAAATTTATTTTGCAATTTAGAAAAATGCGATATAAGGACAATACGCGACGTGCCGAGGTCGGTACTGTATGTCATTATCCTTAAACACCCGTGATGCCTTCCACGTGTAATGTCTTGTTATTTCACGCGAAAATGTTTTGATATACAGATCTGTTGTGACATTTGACATTTAGTCTGTATTGATGTCAACAAATGTGATCAATCATTAGAAGCCATTTTTCTCAAAAACCAAGCATTTAATTTAAAAATAGTGTAGAATAAGTTGCAATGTAAATAAAATATAGTCATTTTGAAAAATTTCCAGAGTAGAAGTTATATTAAAAATAGACTTATGGAAGACTATGATTTTCACAATAATTTGTAAAATCGATAGAGCTTTTGATTCGTACACTTCACTCTAAATATAAAACAAATGGCTTTCGTAGTTATAGAAAAAATAAAGAAAAACCAAAAAACATTTTTTTTTTCAAGATCTTGTATCTCTAAAAGGAAGCCTTTAGAAGAAAAAGTGTATACTTCAAAATAATATTATTTTGACAAGAATAATATTCGTTTTTGGGATGAGTTGAATCACCTATTTCAGAATTCGTTGAAAGCATTACCAAAAATTAGAATTAATTAGGTTTTAAAAATTATGAAAACAATGATTTCATATATGATATAACTGTCATATATTTTAAAACTCAAAGTCAACTTTTCTGAAATTGGAATGGTAAATTTTGAAACTGAATTACTATTTTCTGTAACAGAATATAATTTAACACTAACAAAAAAAAATAAATATCCAAAAGAATTAGACAGATGGAAGCAAAATATAAAATTTACATTTTGGTTATAAATTATCTGATACAAAAAAGATGAATCATGAATCAATTATTATTCTTAGATTATGACTGTTTTTGACTAATCACTAATTCATATGAGAACATCATTATTCTCATATGAATGAAACTGAAATTCAAAGAAGTTAGAGATTTTAAGGTACGACAGAAAAGTTTGTATGTATATACAGAGTGTTCTGAAAAACACCAGCATAAAGGGCCTGATAGAATTTCAAAAAAGATTACAATTTGTCCCTATGAACCGTGGGCGTACCTTTTCCCGTTTTCAAGATATAGGGCGTTGAAAATAACTTTTTAGAATCTAGTTTCGGTCCTGTCTTCCACAAAATTATATATAGGGTGTTAAAAAAGTTTGGAACCCCCCCCCTCTATCTCAGATTGCTCACTCAAAACCCTGCAACTTTTGTCCTAATCATTTTTTTGTTTGAGCAGTATTTTTTGAGATAGAGGGGAGGGTTCCAAACTTTTTGAACACTCTGTATGTATTCTGCCGTATCAGTGTATGAGTAAAATGCAATTTAATTTGAATACCGCTATCTTTACCGTGAAACTGATGGGACAAATATAGTACGCATAGTTTCATTAACTCTAAATATATATTTAATAAAGCATTTCCAGCAAGGTAAAAGGCACTTGAGATAACTCGTCAAATATTCTGCGAAGCGTATTGCTATTTAATAATTTATATATTAACTGATATCACACAGAAGACCTAATTCATTATCTAAAATACAATAATATCCAATACTTTTTCTAATGTATTAAACAGTTCTGCTCTAGTTTTAATATAAGTTTCGCCACTGTGACCATCATGACTGATCCAACTGATACAACCGACTTTCTGTCCTTCAGGTGAGTGTTTCAAATTAAATTCGTTCATTCATCTTAGATATTTCACTTTAACCACTTCAGTTCCAGTTTGCTCCAGTAAGGATCAATTTTCTCAAACTGTTGAAACATCATATTAATAATTTTTATGAACTAATCTTATTTTCGATTTTTGGTACCTAAAGACGCAGCTGTATAGCGTATAGAGTTCTGGATGATTTACAAGTTGTATCAAGGTTTAAATTTCTGATAAAATAAAGAACATAAATGATTAACAAAAACAATAATTTAGAATTCGTAGAATAGATTAGATTTATTTATTTATAGTCGAGATATTGCTCATTCTTTATATTTCCTGTGTATGGAATACAATACACAATTCCATGAGTTGTCTTGAAAATACAACTTTTTATCACGGATTTTTCGAGGTTATACCGTTGAGAAACATTTCAGCGACAGTACTTCGCAGGTATACAAAAAAGAAAAATGGCCTGTTCCAAAGACTAGACCTATCCTTATTTATATTGACGCGCTGAATAACCCTTCACTTTTCTAAAACAGCGAAAAACCACTAGCCCAGTCATTATAGACATGAAAGAGCCTGTTTCGGGAAAAAAATACTATTAGAAGTTTCTCTGCGGAATATTGTTCGGAAACCTGTTATAAATAAAATATCAAAAAATCAACTCGAGGCTAGTTGGGAAACTTTGTTTTAACAGTGGTCAAAGTTATGGAAAAGTGGTTTTTTGACTCACGTAAAAAAGCTATTATTCATAGCGAAAAAAAGTTTATACAAAAAAGGTAGGTATTAAATAAGCCTATAAAATGAGAAAAGTCCGATTAAATTCCGATAATTTGTTTATGCACAAGAGCTCAAAAATGGTCGAAAATTGCCGTTTTTTTCAATTGCTAATAATTAATGCAATTTTCATCGCAGACACTTGTAATTCAGGATTTTTGAGGCTTTTTACACCCTTAATAAGTGGTAAAAATTTCAGCTCGAAAGCTTCATTGGTTTGGCGTTGGCGGAATTTGTTATCTAAGAAGATGCTATTTTCAATTCATTTTTCCCAAGCTCACAGGCGTTGTAGGGTTTTGATCATTAGTTGTTTTTGTACCTAAATAGTTGTATTGACATAGGCATTTACTGAGAATTTAGTTTTTCAAATTTAATTTGTTTAAAATTGACTTTGAAAAAATGTTAATATTTATTAAATTGTTAAGATAGGTAATTATTATAAAATAAAATAGTAACCTCTTTACTTTAGTTTTCTTCGAATTTAAAAAAAAATCGTTGTTGTAAGTTGATTAGAAGCTGAGATAATTTTTTTTATTTATTTAATCGCAGTGACCTTAATTATTAATATTAAGAGCCGAAATTTGGAGAGAGTATACATTAAGAGCTATATTTTCATGTCCTACATTAACATTAAGGTGAATTCAACTATTTAATTTCGAAAAAGAAGATAGCGGCGATGCGTTCTATTACTTGGTCTAGCGAACGAGTGGGGAAGGCGAGGCTTAGCATGCGCGCTTAACGATGTAATAAATATTAACATTTTTTCAGTCATTTTTAAACAAATTAAATTTGAAAAATTAAATTATCAGTAAATGCATATGTCAATACAACTATTTAGGTACAAAAACAACTAATGATCGAAACCCTACAACGCCTGTGAGCTTGGGAAAAATGAATTGAAAATAGCATCTTCTTAGATAACAAATTCCGCCAACGCCAAGCTAATGAAGTTTTTGGGCTGAAATTTTTACCACTTATTAAGGGTGCAAAAAGCTTCAAAAATCCTGAATTACAAGTGTCTGCGATGAAAATTGCATTAATTATTAGCAATTGAAAAAAGCGGGCAATTTCGGCCATTTTTGAGCTCTTGCGCATAAACAAATTATCGGAATTTAATCGGACTTGTCTTATTTTACAGATTTATTTAATACCTACCTTTTTTGTATAAACCTTTTTTTTTCTATGAATAACAGTTTTTTTACGCCAGTCGGAAAACCACTTTTCCATAATTTTGACCATTGTTTTAACAAAGTTTCCCAACTAGTCTCGAGTTGATTTTTTGATATTTTGTTTGTAACACGTTTCTGAACGATATTCCGCAGAGAAACTTCTAATAGTATTTTTTTCCCGAAAAAAAGCTATAATGATTGGCCTACACCTTTAAATACAAAAAACGAATATGATACAAATAAATCATTATAGCCAATTCCAAAATTTTGTGTAGACGATTCAGATTTAATCTAATTTGATCTGATCTACAATATACATTTAGCAGCAGCTGTTTTTATGTTCTACAGAAAACGTTCCGAGCCCAAATATCCTTCGGCGCCATCTCCCGAATCCGAGGTATATAAAAAATATGGAAAAAGAGGAATTGCGGTAATATTTAACCACAAGGAATATGACAAGAAAGACATTCCAACAAGAGACGGAACAGACAAAGACCGCGATGATCTTTACACAACTTTGAAAGAATTACAGTTCGATGTTAATGCTTATGATGATTTACGTTCTGCTGAAATTGCTGAGACTCTCTCAAGAGGTAAGTCGAATTATAATAAAAAAAATTAAAAATACAAACTCCTGCAACAGCTTTTTTAATGTAGATGGCTGACTTTTTACTAATTTCATAAAGATCCACAAACATTTTTCAATAAAATTAAAATCTTATACAGGGTGTGGCGTGTATAATCTATAAAAATTAAACAACAGCTTCCTGGTGGTATTTGTAATAGAAAAGTCTTATCGCCTTTTTTTTTGTAAAGTTCATTTATTCAACGAAAATAAAGGCCGACCCTGTGTTATTTATTAAAATAATTGGAAATGTTTTTATGCGACCCGAGATGCAACCTTATAATTTAAGTCGGTATAATCTAATACTAGTAATACTAAGAAGTTACGTTACATTGTCAAAAAATTTGTGCAGTCAACTGATTTTGTATTTGTATTGAATTCATTATTCACTTAATTATTAAATATTAAGCATCGTCCATCGACCCGTCAGTGTTAAAAAGTGAAAGATTCTAGACAAAAGTTTTTATTTTGTAATTCCACGATAGTGACAGTGTAATTTTTATAAAGAAGTAAAAAATAAGAATAGCGTGCCGATTACATTAAAAACGAGATTCTTATTTCTTACTTATTTTACAATGAACCGAGAAAACAATGCATTTACTAATTCCGAACGTGTCGATATGGTGTTAGCGTATGGTGTAGCCGGAGAAAATGCGCTCGCGGCGACTAGGTTGTACCGGGAACGATGGCCACAACGTCATACCCCCATGTGCAAATACAATCGTACAGTGTGTTCAGCGGCTGCGAGGTACGGGAAGTGTTATTCCTCGAGGAGAAGGACGTGGTCAGCAAGTGAACCTTAATGTTGAAGATGCAGTTGTTGGAAAATCATGTCTAAAACCCCACAATTAGTACTTGACTATTCGCAAAGCAAGAAGGAACCTCGTCTCGTACCGTATCTGCAACCAGTTCAACAGACTTTAACCACTGGATGTTTGTGGAACAGATGAGGGGACATTTACCTGTGTTGAAGTGAATTTCCATAATATGCACATATGGGCCGAAAATCCTCACCCTATTAGGGAAACTCATTTTCAACATCGGTTCTCGGTAATAATGTTTGAGCTGGCATAATAGGCGATGTACTTGTAGGTACCTATTTCTTTGAAGGACGACTAAATGAACATATGCTGACTTTTTGGAGAACCGCTTGCCTGAATTATTGAACAATGTGGCATTACAAGTTCGGACACGCATATTTTATCTTCAAGATGAAGCTCCTCCACACAGTACTCGAGAAGTAACGACACTTTTGAATGTAATGTTTCCTCAGCGATGGATTGGACGCTTTGGTCCTGTGCCGTGACCACCTCAGTCACCCGATCTAACTCCAATTGACTTTTATCTTTGGAGTCACTTGAAGTCATTGGTTTACAAAGTTTAAAATTATATATCACCGAATGGGCCTATTGAACTTTAATTTACGAAAAAAAAACGTAAAATAGAACTTTTTCGTATAAGACTTTTCTATTACAAATATCGTTAGGAAGCTGTAGTTTAATTTTTATAGATTATACACACCACATCATGTATATCCTCATATAATAGCTACACGTTTTTAGGTAGATCCCATTAGGGCAATAGCAATGTGAAGCAACTTTTGGTAAAAACTTTTTAGCCACGCCTTATAAAATCTCTTCAAACCTTGCAAAGACAGTATGAAAGAATGTGCCGTTCTTGTTTTTTATTTTTAGTAAAGGACATCGACCACTCTGAACACGAGTGCCTAATAGTCATTGTTATGTCGCATGGCGAGTTGGACAAATTTTATACTAAAGATGAAACTTTTCCGGTTAGAAGTTTGTGGGAACCTTTCTTTAAAGTGCCTAGCCTAGCTGGAAAACCAAAAATGTTTTTCATTCAGGTAAGTCCGTATAATTATATATCTCAAATATTATCATGCAGCGTATTTGTTTCCCACAATATCGTTAATTAAAATATTTTTTATGCCCGAAAATTAGATATATCTGTTGAACTAATTTCTTTCATATTGTACAAGTAATTGAAAATTTAAGTAATGTTGTAGAAAAATATGATACCACCTACTATTTTAGTAAAGAAAAGCATTATTTTTTTTTATAATTACACATGGCTATCTACAGTGTTTTTTTTACACAATAGTCGCGTGTTTTTCGTAAAAAAGTGAAAATCCTAATCTCTATAATCTCTATTTCAATGCTTACATTGCCTGGGAGGCTTAAAGTATTATCTGAAAAATATGGAAGAAATCCGTTTACAATAGATAAAAAAATAGCAAACCTAAAAACAACTACGATTTAAATAAAATCGATCATTTTTATAGAGATTATACCGAAATACTATAACTGCACAGTAAAATCGGTGTGAATGAAAACAATAAAGGTGGGGAGTATATTGTCACTCAATATTGAGCATTTTAATCATTTTACTCATTTGTGAAGATATTTGAACTAAAACTGAGTACTTTCACTTAAATATAGGTACCCTTTAAATAAATTCTCCAGATGATCTCGTATTTGGTACACTTGTACCTAAACCCTACCCCATTGTATGGTTGTCGTGCGTTGTCTTTGTTTATTCCCATCGTCCCCATTATGTTATGTAGTGGCGTGGTGTATGACGTGTAGTGCTGGACAAGTGGCCTGCATATTAGCTTGAATATACTTTTTTCTAATTTCAGGCATGTAGAGGAAATAAACCTGACCCAGGAATAACAGTTGGTTACGATGAAATGGACGCTAGGAACAACGGGCAGAAGTTGTATTCAATACCAATATCAGCAGATGTGCTGGTTATGTATTCTTCATACGAAGGTAACCCTTAATTTTTTTGTTGTAATTATCAAATAAGGTCACATAAAATTCCTACCGAAAAATAACAAAAACAAATGTCAGGTTACTTCAAAAATACTATAAATTTAAAGCTAAAAATTTTGTAGCGTCTTTATTTAAATCAAAGACTATTTGATCAGCATTTTCTCTTAAAATCCACGGACAAATATATATATATTAT